GATCAGCCCTGTGTCTCACTCACTGCGGTACAGCGGTCAGCCCCTGTGCCCGCTGGCCGACTGAAACCCTAAATCCTTAACCTTTCCTTTGGAACCTGAGCCAGGAAAACGGGGGTGAAAGAGGGCTTCCCCCAACCCCTAAGCAGGCCAGGCAGCCTGGGGGAGGTCTTGCTCAGAGCAGTGAGAGAGGCTGAGGCAGTGGGAGGGGGAGGTTTACCAGGGCTCAAAATTCATTATTCATGAGCCTGCAGCAATGACTCCAATTTAAATGCTAATGTGGGGGGGCCAGACTCAGCCGCCCCCCTTTCGGCCCCCACCCCCAGCCCAGGCACAAGCGGAGTCCGTGCTGGCTCCAGGTTCACCAGGGTTTATTAGGGAGTGAGGAGGGAGGCCAGGAGCCCTGGCCACCCCCACTGCTCCCGGTCTGGGAAGATCCTGTCTGGCTTCCTGGTGTCCCCTCTGGGTAGACGCCAGCCAAGCAGGCAGCAGCCTCCAAAGGGGCGGGTCGGAGCTGGGGGGCCTCGCAGCAGCCCCCCTCAGAGGATGATCTGGTTGGTGAAGCTGCGGCTCAGCTCCTTGTGTGGCAGAACGATCGAGTTCAGGATGAGCACCTCGGCAGGGATCCGGACACGGCAGCCTGCAGTGTGGACAGCGACCAGGCGCCGGGGCCAGGTCAGGGGAGGGGAGGTAGACAGGCAGCCGGAGGAGGGGGCAGGCCTGCTGCGCCAGGGCCTTACACGGCAGGCGCCAGGTCAGTGTGTGCTGGACAAGACACACGTAGACGAACCAGCGCCCGCGACAGGCCTCTGCCCCTACCTGTCGCAGGTTCTCCCAGCCCTCCGCCCCCAGGGACCCCTACCCAGGATGGTGATGGCGGGCAGCAGCTTCCCGTCCTTGAAGAGGCTCTCGCTGTCCATGCGGGCTCGGGGGTCATTGGGGTTGGGGTCATTGGGTGTCCCCTCCACACGAGCCCAGCGCCCCACGGTGCTCCCCCAGCCGACGATGCTGTGTAGGACACACGTGTGCTCCTGCCAAATGGATGGTGTGGGGGTGAGTGGAGGGCAGGCAGAGAGACAGGAGGGCACGTGATGGGGCAGGATGCAGATTCCAGGGGGCTTCACCCTGTTCTGTTCTGGGGAGGACGGCGGGGTACACACCTGCAGCGTGGCTCCGTGCAGCACGATGCTCTCGCGGAGCCGCACACCCTCGCCCACGGTCACCCCCTTCCCGATGGAGACGTTGGGGCCCAGCTGTGGAGAAGAGCACATGCTATGGGCCTCGGGCATGCCCAGGTCCAGTCCCCTCCTGGGACAGACAAGGAGGCCCGGCCACACAGCCGCTTGTGACAAAGCAGAGAGACCTGCGGCCCGAGCTCTGGCCGTCCCTGTGCCGGCCACCTGTCCTGATAACCCCCCATTTCTCCCCCTGGGCTGGGCCCACCACTTACCACGGCCGAGGGGGCCACCTTCGCTGTGGGGTGGATGTAAACGTTCCCTAGAAGCAGAAGAGAGCACCTGGGAGCCAGCACCCCAAGGCCTGTCCGCATCTGGGAGCGGCGGGGATGGAGACCGCCGCTGCACCCCAGCTGCACAGCCAAGGCTCAGAGGGCAGAGGGGGCTGGGTGGGGTGGGTACCTCGGATTCGCGGGCCCCCCGGGCTGTGCTTGGCTAGCCTCTCTGGGTGAGTGATCTGGTAGCGGCCCAGATAGAGGCGGGAGGCGTAGAGGGCTGAGCTGTGGGCCGAAAGGGGGCAAAGAAAGGGCTCAGGATCCGGCGGGGCCTGCGCCCCGACCCCAGAGTCTCAACTCCCAGGGGCCGCGGACCCCTCCTCCCCCCCTCCCCCACGCACCCCGCAGACTTGATCTGGCTCCAGATGCCCTCGGTGAGGTGCACGTAGATCTGGCCCTGCCCTGCCAGCGCTGAGAACACATCCTGCTCCAGGCGGATGGTGCCTGCCCCGGGCCACGAGCCTGGGGAATCCTCCCTGTACAGTGCAGGGTGCGCACATCAGTTTCCCGGTGAAACCCCTGCTCCCAGGGACGGGTGGCTGAGGGTGTCCCCCACCTCGGCAGGTCTGATCAAGCCCTCTCTAAAGGGCTCTCACATCCCAGGCACCCCCAGTGCCCACCCCAGCTCGGAGGGCTATCACAGGAACTCCCCCAGGATAGACCCACTACCCATCCTGGCCCCCAGCCCTCCCCCTACAACCCCGTTTCATACTCTTCCCCCCCTCTAAAACCCACCTCAGCTACCCTCCCCTCCTCAGATGGAATGAAACACACAGACTCACCCCAAAGCAAGGCAGCTGGTGAGGGCAGAGACAGTCACAGAGAGAAGGGGGGGGGGGGAGAGAGAGAGAGAGAGAGAGAGATGGTAGTGATGCCAGCTCAGCAGAAACAGAGACAGAGAAGCCAGGAGAGACCGAGAGAGAAGCAGAGACATGATGGCCATGAGTGAATGAGGCGTGAGATGGGTGGGCGGGGCAGCAGCTCCACAGAAGGGGACAAGCCTGGGTGGTGGCGCGCACGGCTCTGGGGCGCTATCTGCCAGGGGCGCCTCAGCCTGAGTGTGTGTGTGTGTGTGTGTGTGTGTGTGTGTGTGTCTGCACTCCAGCGTGTGTGTTCGCCCAAGTGTGCACGGCCGTCTGTTCTGTAAGACATCTCTGGGACGCACAGGGCTCGAGAGCAATGGACCGGAAGGGGGGTGGGCAGTGGCAGAGGAGGAACTGGGATGGATAAGGAAGAGGGACAGAATGAGGTTAGAAGGGGAGGGACTCGGAGGCTGGGCTCGAGGTGACCGGGAGAAGGAGCAGGGAGGAGGCGGCGATGGAGCCTGCAGAGGCGGGGCGGGGGGGGGGGGTCTGTGCCTGGGGGTACTCGGGGTCACAGGGCCATGCGGCCTGCCTCACAGTTGCCCATCCTGCTGGTTACGCTGGAAGACATCCCGAAGCGGCTTCAGGGCTTCCGGGGAGAAGAGATAGATGCCACAGTTGATGATGTCACTGATAAAAGTGCTGGGTTTCTCCACATAGTGCAGGACCTGGGAAAGAGCCGGCGGGGTCGGGTGGCAGAGGGGACGGCAGCGGACCTGCCGCTACTGCCTGGCTGCAAACCCTCGGGTGACTGCTGTTCACCTTCACCTTCAAGATAAGTCCGAACGCCACGCCTTTCCCTGCTCCCCCCACCTCCCGGCACTGCCAGAGCTCGGCTCTGCGCCCTCGCATGCCTGTGCCCGGTGTGCCTTTTTCCATTGCTTTGTCTGGAAAACCCAGTCGACAGCCTCACTGCCCTCTGGGTCCTCTCCTGCACGCCCGGCCCCTGGCCACACCTCGCCCCACACTGGGTCGTCTGCAAGGCTGGCTTTGGACTCCATCTCTGCACTGCCGGAGGGCTCCTGGGAGTTAGGAATCGAGCCTTCGTGGCTGCGCTCACCTCCAGAGCTGAGCACACACTGTGTCGCTTCCTGCCCTTGTGCCTTGTACCTGCGGCTCCCTCTGCCTGCGCTGCCTTCCTGTCTCCTCCTCCACTGAACTCAGCTCAGACCTGCTTCCTCCAGGAAGCCCTCCCTGTCTCCATGTGGGCAAGGCCGGGTTGGCCCCCTCTTGTGTTCCCGCTGCCCCCTGTGTAGACATTTATGAGAGTATCACACCAGCAGAAATGATCTCCTTTGCTTTCTCCCTAGGTCTCTCTTTAGGCGATGACCAGTGAGGGGCCAGACACGGGCCGCCCCTCAGAGTTCCTGCCTGCTCTGGAGGCGTGGGGTGGAGGGATGACAATACCCACACAGGGCCCCTCCCAGTCCCTCTCTGCTCCCACCTCATGCGTCTGTGGGTTCTCAACGATGCAGCCGTAGTTGAGGGACTGCGTCCTGTTGGCCTGAAAGACAGATACACTGGAGACAGTGACCCGCCAGCCCCGGGGCAGCCATGTCTGTTTTCCTGTTCCGTCTCTCCCTCCCCTGTGGCACCTGGCACGCAGCTCCACGGCGCTGCCACTGACAGGTCTTTGGCAGGGGTGACAACTGACAGCTGCCCTCCCCCTCCCACGTCGGAGCAGTCTAAGGACTGGGGTCACCAGCGCCACCTCCGTTACTGCTGAGGCCCTGTGTCGCCCTGCTGACACCACTCTGCCCACGGCAACCGCCAGGCCTGCCGCCCCTCCCTCCCTGACACCTGCACTCCAGGAAGCGCTCTGGATCACCACCCTTCACGCTCCCTAGCCCCCTCACCGTGGTGCCAAGGAGCAAGAACGGGTGGCGCTGGCGTCTGTGGGCATCCAACATGGCGTTCAGGGGGAAGTCGGAGCAGACATCAGCATTGAGTACGAAGAACGCCTCCGGGCCTCCAGCCAGGATCTGGTCCCGGAAATGGTAGAGACCACCTCCTGTGCCCAGGGGGGCAAACTCCTGCAGGTACCTGTCCCCAGGGAGCCCAGCTTAGTGAGGCCCCAGGGGAAGACACCCTGAGTCAGAACCCTGACCCTACTCTGCTCCCCAGAATAGGCCTGCCCAAGGCCCAGAGTCAGGTCAGCCCACCAGACTCCTCCCAGCATGAGACGGTGGGCTCTGGCCAATGCAGAGACCTCAGAGCGCTAGGGCAGCCCGCCCCCACAGGCACCTGATCGGAAGGTGGAATTCCTGCTGGGCAGCCTCTAGGAACTGGGTCAGGGCCTCATCAGGTTGGTAGAAGCCAATGAGCAGAATCTCCTGCATCCCTGGGACCTGAGGACAAGGGATGAAGCTGGGAGAAGCAGCAGCTGGCAGAGGGAATGCAGGGGAGATGCCCGGCGCTGGCCCAGAGACCCCAGGTCCAAGCTGTGGGGGCCCCGGGCAACACTGTACCACTCTGGCCCGTTTTCTCTGGACAATGAGGAAGTTTCGGCCCTGATTTTTCCATCCTTTCCTATTCCACTCACCTGAACTGGGACTCAATCTAAGAAAGACTCTGCCTAGCTACTGCATTCTAAGGGGATCCGCTCATTTTCCTACCATTTTTATTATCTGTCAGTCTAAGCTTGAGACCGGCATGAGGGTCACTGACCACGAGGGGTCCTGGGAAGGATTTTACAAACAGCTTTGCCTATCCACACACACCCATTTTACAGATAAGGAAGCTAAGGCTCAAAAGAGGGTGAGAAATTCGCTCCAGGCCTCACAGCAGAGACTGGATTCAACCCCAAACTTGCTTGTCCTAGTAGTAAAGGCAACAAAGAAACGAGGCGTGACTTCTGGGCCTTGTTACCATCAAGGGTTCCCATGCTAGCGTTTTATTTTATTTTATTTATTTATTTTTATTTATTTTTTTGTCAACTTAACATTTTATTTACTACTTTCCATGCTATGGTTTTAAATGGTCTCTAAGGGGCTGAGGTTTGGCACAGCAGTGAAGTCGCCACTTGGGACGCCTGGTTTGAGGCTCAGCACCTCTGCTTCTGATCCAGCTTCCTGCTCATGTGCACCCTGGGAGGCAGCAGGTGATGGCTCACGTACTTGGGTCCCTGCCAGCCATGTGGGAGACCTGGAGGGAGTTCCAACTCCTGGCTTCAGCCTAGCTCAGCCCTGGTCAGTGCAGACATTTGAGGGAGTGAACCAGTGGATGGAAGATCTGTCTCTTTATGTCTGCCTTTCAAATAAAAGTGCAAATAAATAAACTTAAAAAAATTAGTCTCTAATATCCCTGCCTGGTCTCATATTCCATACTTTAAAAGTAAGCATGAAATTGGAGGAGGAGGGGCCAGATTGAGAGACAGAACAAGGAGAGGGCAGGGCAGCTGTACCGCACAACTTGAGGGGGCGCCATTCACACGGTCACCTGTGAATGATGGCCCTGTGGACAGACAGCGTGGTTGGGAAAGGGGGAAGCCTGGCTCGAAGGAGATGAGCAGGAAGTGAGGTGAGAAAGGGGAGCCGGTGGGGTTACCTGGGCACAGGCCTCAATATGGTGTTGAATCATGGGGACTCCGGCCACAGGAAACAGGGGTTTGGGCACCTCAAAGGACAAAGGCCTGAAACGGGTGCCTAGGAGAGGAGAGAGGGGCACATCTGAGCCTCCTGTGGCCCTCTGCCCCCACCCACCCACCCCTCCATTCCAGCCCAACCTCCACCCCCCAGGCCCCAGGCGCCTCACCCTTTTGAGGGCCTCCAATCAGGATCACGGCCTTGAGCATGGTGGTGCTTGCTGCTACCTAAACCTCGAATCCCAACAGAGAACGCAGGCTCCGGTCACACCCCCGTCCAACCCGTCACCCCCAAATACACACAGCAGCCTTCTCCCAGGATGTAAACCCCAAGTTTGACACAGTCCCTCCCTGGACAGCACTTCCCAAATCCCACCGGGCTTCAAACTCACAGTGAGTCCCCGCCAGTTCTGAAATTCACACACCACAAGTTGATCCCTAACAGACTTCCCCTGGCCGTGAACAAATTCTGCAAACTCAGGAACTCAGCGGCACAGAACCCTTCTCAGATCCCAAACTGACCCCCTGCTCCTTCTGATGTCAATCCTTGAATCTCAGCAGCGATCTGTGACTACTGAACCGCGAGCCCCGAGTCCCCGATATTTCACTGCAACTCTAACGTGAACCCCCAGTACTGAGCAACACTGATCTGCATTGGCTGAGCCCCCAGTCCTAGCAAAAGCGTGCGCTGAACACGAACCCTAACAGGCTCAGCTCCAAATGCAGACAGGTTCCCTTGGCATCCCGAACACTGGACCTACCAACCCCTCTCGTGCCAACACTGGTGACCGCTGCGCAGCCCCTGGATTCGGAGGACTGCGTGCTGACCCTCTGAACCCCACAACCGTCAACAAAATTGAGTCTCTGGTAGTGAGGGTTTGCGGGAAGAACACAGGGGCGGACGCGCAGAGGAGCAGGCGGGACCCCCGCGCGAGCCCGCCCTCCGCCTGGGGGCCGTCGGCTGGTCCTTCCCCTCCTACCGCCCCTCCGCCAGCTCGCTTTACCCCTAGCACCCCTTATTCCAGCTCTGCCGCTCGCTACCGTGACTCCTTCCGCGCACGTGTCTTCTCGCTACTCGCGAGACCTCTTCCGCAGGGTCTGCCGGGAATTGTAGTTCTGAAGCTGTTTCCCATCCCTTTCCAACTTCACGAAAAAGAATCTGTGCATGTGCCAAGGGATGGGAGGGGCGGGCCTGAATGAGCAGTGCGGCCTGAGAAGCAGGAGGTGGAACCCTAAGACTGGGACCCCAGGGGTCCGGGAATGGGCCCAGGACAGCGACCGACGGGGGTCACTGGGAAAAGTCGGACTACTGGGGGTGTGGACAGTGCGGGAGGGGCGTGGCCTCTAGTGGGAGGGGCTTGATGTCCCGGAGGACTGGAACGAACAGGGGGTGTGGCCAGGCTGGGAGGGGCGGAGTCTCTAGGGGGAGGGGCAGAAGACGCAGTCGCAGGCTCCCTAGCCCGGCCGCCTGGAAAGAGGAGGGTCCCACCGTGGGAGAAAGCCCGTCTCGGATGAACGGTCTGCGAGATGGGGCGCTGGTCTGGGCGTCCCCGCACTGCCCTCTGACCCAGCATTCCGTGACTTTGTAGAGTGGAGTGGGGGCGCGGGACGGCGATGCTAAGGAACAGAACAGATCTTGAGGGTCCGGGACAGCAGTCCGATTGCACAGGACGGTCCCACCCACCACTGGGCGTGGGGCCAGGGCGAAAAGGTCCCTTTGAGGCCACGTCCACGCGGGCGAAGCTCTGGGCAGTGCCCAAGCTGTTCTCCACGTACACCTCGTGCTTGCCGCCGACCTGGGACGTGGCCCGGCGGGTGGTCAGCGACGTCGTGGCGCAGCCTCGCGCCAGCGCCACCCTAGGGGCCAGCAGCGTCCTGCGGCTCCCCGTTCCCCAGCCGCAGCCGACTAGTTCCTGGGCCCGGGCCCTTCCCCGTCCTTGGTCCAGGCCACGTAGGGCGCTGGTTCGCTCAGAATCTCCGCGCCAGTGTCTCTGCGGTGCCTTCGTGCGCCTTGATGCTGCTGGAGCCCTTTTGAACTTTTGCTGGGCCCAGGGGAAGGGGAGGGGAAGGAGACCCCGTGAAGGACCTGCCGATGAGGTCATCACCTCCCCAGGGCCATCACCTCCCCAGCTGACTCTAGCCTTGAGTACGGTGTGGCGCTGGGCGAGGCACCAGATTCTGGTTTCATCCTGTCAGTTTCAATGGCTTGGGGGGGGGGGGGGGTCCAGTAGTGAGGATCAAAGGAGATGGGGAGGTGGGCTCCTGGGAATGCCCATCCCTCCCCCTGGCTGCCCTGGGTTGGGAGCCAGAAAACTCCCACCCTGGCCCTGCCCCTCCCCAGCCGTGTGACCTTGGGGCCCAGGAGTCGCCAGATCCAAGCCCACCTCTGACTTCCCAGTTGCCAAGATCGGGAGAGAAGAGCGCGCCTGAGCCGGCCAGGGCCCTGTTCCGAGCCGGCTACGCCCAGCAGCGACGGCGCGCGGCTGCCTGGGGCTTCGGTCGCCCGCGCGGAGCTGACACGGGCACCGGTACCTTCCACGGGGATGCGCGCACCGGCCGAGCGGGTTGGGCATGTCGATGCTGCACTGGCCCAGTTCTGCCAGCTCGCCGTCGCGCACCTCGTTAAGGTCCGCGGAGACCTAGCGATACCTGGGCTCATCTCGCAGCTCCTTGCCGCCCTGGCTCCAGAGAATGAGCCGGGGCGGGAAGGCAGGAACGCCGCCAGTCGGCTTGGCCGCGCTGCCCGCGATCATCACCAGGCCTTTCAGCGGCTGCAGCTCCCGCGGCCACCCCTTCTCGCACAGCTCCCTCTGAGACCTAGGCGCGGCGGGATCAGGCCCAGGACCCCCACGACCCAGCTCCCGCCCGCCCACACACGGGGCCCCGCCGGCCCCCTGAGCCCACCAGACCCTTTATGTAGGGATGGACAGGAACTGTGTACCCTGATAAAATGACCCACTCTTGCTGGTCACGCTTTCAACCTCAGTAACTGCTTTCCGCTAAATCCAGTGACTCAACTGGTTCCCGACACTGCTCAGCAGCCCCACCGCCCAATATAGGAATGGGTTTTTCTACCCCTTTCTTTCTCAGAGCTCACACGGGTCCCCTCACCTGTGGCACCCGTAAAGGGCCTGGATGCAAAAGCTGCGCTCTGCACCTTGGGGTGGTTGACATCCGGGGTACATCCTGGAGGTGGGGCTGCTAGCTTTTTGGCAGAGGCTGCTTTGGACATCTGGGGTTTGGACGACAAACGGGGGAGTCCAGGCTGTAACAGAGGCTCCAAGCCTCTGCCCTTCCCTGCCTGATTAGGACATCCCAGCGGGTACAGGAGTGTCCGGAGTTTCCCTGCTGTTGGGACTCACCGTGGAAGGGCTGACTTTGGGTCTTCAGTTGATTGGCTGGGTGGCAGGTGGCATAGAACCTTCCAGGTAGGACTGCAGGAAGATGGGCTGGTGCTCAGAGCAAGGCCCTGGTTTTACACATCTCAGTCCACAAGCCCCCTGAGACCCTAGCTCCCCACCCCCCATCCAAGCCGACTCCTCATTGGATCTGAGGGTGATTGGGATGCTGGCTCAGTGAGGGAAACCCCAGCGGCCCCGGGTGCACCTCAGGTCAGCGTCCTGAGAGCTGGACAGCTGGATGAGGCCCCATTCCTTCCCAGGTCAGGGTTGTCCAACTGCCTCCTGGCAGTACCAGTCCCTAGCCCACAAAAGAGTCAGCTCACCGCTGGAACAGCTCTGCAACATGCCCTTCCCCCAACATGCCACTTCAGGGGGGCCGGGGCTTGTAGGGGTGTCCCTGAATGAAGCCAGAGTAGCCTCAAGGTCTTCAAGGTCCATCCAGCCAATCATGACAGGGCCACGTGTCACGCCTTTCTCTACCCACCCACCTTACTCCACCCAGGATTGCCATTTCTGCACTGCGCCCCCTGGCGGCAACTTGAGGTTAAACCAAGAGGGGACGGGAAAGAGCCATGAGAACAGTAGCCCTCCATCCCCTCCACCAGACCTAGAAGGGTCTGAGGGGTCTGCACTGTCCCTGGAGATGAGCACTACCTCTGACTCCCCAGCCCCCCATCTGCCCAAGCACTTTTCGGGGGCATAAACTGGTGCATAGGAGCAACAGACTGCTGGGGGGGGGGCGGGGTTTCAGTGACCCCTGGTAGGAGCAGTGCCTGCATCCTCTGTGACTACCCGCCCAGGTGTGCAGCACTGTCACCTTTTGATCCGAGCCATTTTGACACAGCACTGCTGCCATAAATCACCTTTGCTCCTGCAGCTTTGGAACAAGCAGTTCACATGCCATTTCCAATGGAGATGGGAAGGGAGCCCAAGACAGAGGGGAGACGGGAGAGGAATTTTACCATTCATCAAGATATGAGCTCGGGCACCTCATTTTTATATGAAAACACTTGCAGTGTGGAAGGGCTTGGAGGCTCTCCCGGGCAAACTGTGTGTCTCCATCACTGACATGACAGGTGGGCGAGGTGTCTCCCTCATCCCTTCCAGCTGGCTTTAGTATCCCATTACTCCACGATGATAGGGCTTGCCTCTCTGCTGGGGTTCTGAGAAACCAGAGAGGCTGGAAAGGGCAAAGCGTTGTTTAAGCTGGAGCCAAGGGGCCTCTGCCTCCACTGGCAACTCACCAGTGCCCACTTTTGGCTGCTGGCCAGAGGCTTTGTTCCTTTCATTTTGCAAGGAGAGAGTTTGCAAGGAGTGTGTTGTGTGTAGAGGGGCATGGTCCCCCTGGACACTTGGAGACCTGCCCCCTCTCCCGTCCTGCTCTAGAGTCCAGCAGCTGAGTTCTAGGACCCAGAGACCATTTGGTGGCACTGCAGGGGAGTGGCCAAAGTGAGGATGCCTTAGCACCCAGCAAATGTCCTCACTTGCCACGGGGACAAGAAGGTCCAAGCTGATGTGGCCCTCAATCCCCGGCAAACACCAGACACGGTCGACCCTGGCATGCACACATCTGTGCGGTGGATGCTGACCTGAGCCAACACCGAGGGGGTGGGGCCTGGCCTGTCCTGGTTCCTCCAGCAGCCACCAGGTGTCAGCTGCTATGCCACCGGCTGCGTGTGAGCACGCCTCGGCTCTGAACAGCTCAGAGGGGGTTGACTGTCCCGTACCTGGGGCTCACATCCACCCAGTCCTCCCTCCCCGGACACCACGCAGGTCCTGCGGCTTGCTGTTTTTATTCTCCTTGTGACAGACAGACAGAGAGCTGCAGAGACAGCTGGATGGCGGCGGGGGCAGGGCAGGGGGAGGAAGGGCAGGACAACACGGGCCACTGGGGTTGGATGGAAGGGAGAACTTCATGAAAGTCAATAAATAAATAAATACGAATGGGAAGAAGGGCAAAGGCCATGGAGGGGTGGTGGGGACGTCCTCAGGCCGGCAGGGTGCCCAAAGCTGCATCCACGGCCCAGGACGAGAGATCCAGGTGGAGGGGCCACTTGCCGCAGCCCTCTGTGTCTTCACTTTCGGGGATGCCTGCAGCTGGCCCACCCTGCCCCTACCCGAGGGCCCTCTCCTCGCCCACCTTCCCATCCTCTCTCACATCCTGGCTCTGGCTTCCTGGCACCATCTCTGTGTCCTGCCCACCCATACTCGCTGCCCTGATACCTGGGCCCCCTCCTCTTGCTCCTCTCCAGCCTCGCCCGCCCTCCCTGCTTCTCCCTGAGATGCACCGCCTACCCCTCCACCCCTGGAGTCTCCCTCCCTCCCCCTCCATGTCTTTTCCTCTTTACCTTCCATTCCCTTCTTGCCCCTCTTCCTGTTCCCTCCCCTGCCCAGCCTGGCCAGTGGGTCTCCTGCTGTGGCTCTGGCCAGGGGTGGCATCAGGCCACAGCCCCGGGGGCCTCTGTCCCCGCAGGTGCAGGTCCGTGAGGTAATAGCCTGGCCAGAGGCTGCTGCTGGTGGTATTCCGGCTCAGCGTGGGCCCTGGAATGTCCCGCGGCGTGGGTGGGGAAGCCCGAGTGGGAGCCCCAGGCTGGGCTGTGGTCCGTGCCTCTTGCTCGCTCGCTCCCTCGCTAGGGGCTGCCAGGGTAGGATCGGAGCAGCACCTTGTGGCGGGTGGCGGCCTCGGCCCGGCGGCGCCGCTGCTCGCCCAGGAATTCCTTGAGGCGGTTGGTGGTGAACGTGAGCGTCTGGCGGCGCAGCTTCATCAGGTAGGCGTCCTGCAGCCACGGGTGGGCCAGGCAGTCCTGCAGGGAGGGCCGGCTCCTGCCAGGCACAGCCGGGGCGGTGAGCCTGGAGGCCGGGCTCCCGGAGCAGGTGGGCTCTGCACTTCCGCAGCCCCGCCTCCCAGTCCTCCACCCAGCCCTACAGCGCAATCTGAGGGCAGCTGGAGCTCAGGTTCCGGCCTTCTGCAATGGGGATGGTGATTCTGTCCATGCGGGGGCTGTTACGGGCTTTGCGTGGCAGGTCGCAGGGCCACCAAGCAGAAGTGACAGCAGCGTGGTAGTGGCAGGGGAGGAGTCGGGGCAGCTGGGCACAGGCTGAGCCCAGGCAGTCTGCTCAGGTAACCCCAGGAGGTCGGCCGGCCAGGGCCCACTCACCAGGGATGTACTGAGAGGACCTTGCGCAAGAAGAGGGTGGCGCTCTGGGATGTGTTGGGGTACAGCTGGAAGGCATCAAAGCGGCCCCCCACAATCCGAGCCTCTGTTTCCTGGGGGTCTGGCTCATAGAAGGGGGAGTGTCCACTGAGCCTGTTGTGCACAAGAGAGTTGAGCTGACTTGTGAGACTGAGGGTGAGACTCACCCCCAGGCCTGGGGGACATCACGGTGGGGGCATCCAGGGGACAGTGTTATGCAAGGTTTGGGGAGGTTGTGCAGGAAGGCAGGGACATGGGGGCAGAGAGTGTGGGCAGAGGGGGGTTCTGGGGCTCCAACATGGGCCAGGGGGCTGGGCAGGGCCGGGGGCACTCACATGATGTAGGTGAGCACACCTGCTCCCCAGATGTCCGTCGCAGAGCCGATGGGATCTCCCTTCACCATCTCAGGAGCTGACAAGAGAGAAGGCCACGCTGATCCACTGGGGAGGGGGGAGCAGGGAAGGCCCTGGGGGCTACAGGAGCAGGACTGGGCCCCGGGCCACCAGACCAAGGATGCAACCACTCAGCAGGCCCCAGGGGCCAGCACATGGGACAGAGAGGGTGGCGGTGCCTAGGAGACGTGGGAGGCACTTGAGGAAGTAACCCAGGCACTGCGTGGTGGGGTGCCCAGGAGTCCAGAGAGGCTGCGAACCGGGGGTGCCAGTTCCTGTGGATCAGCCCCGAGCCAGGGCGCCCATTCACAAAGAATGCAGACAACATGGAGGGTAACAGCCTTTGCAGTCAGCCAGCTGGCCCAGCCCCAGGCCTGCCCCTTCCGGCGGCTGTGGGATGCGGGGTGATTTCCCCTGCCTGCCTGGCTCCCCACTGCCTCATCTGTGAGTGCGGCTTGAAGAGCGACTCTAAGGAACAGAGCTCCCGAATGCAAGCACTTGGCAGGTAGCTGCTTTCCCTTATTTATATAAAATAGTAAGTGGCTCTCCTGTCTTTCCAGCGCTAGCAAATGCTGCCTCTGCCATTTATGGCTGTCGGGTTGGACAGCACAACTTCAGGGTGCCTCTGTTGCCCCCTCTGTAGAAAGGGGAGCAGGGGATAATTTCATGCCAAACTGCAGGCATATTGCAAGGGTCATTTAAAAGAGAGTGCACACAAAGCACTTAGTTCATTGTCTGCACACAGCAAGCACTCCAAGTGGACCAAACCCTGGCTGCTGCTCCTTTGGCCGGGCCCCAACCCCCCAGCACGGCCGGCAGCTGGTTGTCTCACCCATGAACTCCAGCGTGCCGGTGCGGTGGCCAAGGGGGCGTAGGGCCTGGGGGTTGTAGGGCTGGGCACTGCCGAAGTCCACAATCTTGAGGGCGTTGTCAGGGGCCAGCAGCAGGTTGTCTGGCTTGATGTCCAGGTGCAGCACGTGACGGCCATGGAGGTAGTCCAGGCCTTGCAGCAGCTGTACCACGTAGGTGGCCACGTCATCTTCTGAATACCGGAACCTGGGGTGGGGTGGGGGAGCAGGGACACAGCAGGTGACATCGCAGCCCAGCCTGCCTGATCTCACACTCTGCTCCCGCCGAGCCCCCGGCTACCTGTCACTGAGGCCACAGAGGAGCTCCCGGTTGCCGCAGCTCTCTGCGATGAGCACGAGGTAGCGAGGGGTGATGTAGGCCTCGTGCAGGGCCATGAGTCGCTCGTGGTGCAGCGTCCGCAGCACTTCGTACTCCTGCAGGACCCGCCGCTTGCCCTCAGCCGCGTAGGGCACGATCTTGGCCACGAATGTTCGGCCTGTGGCATTCTCCCGGCACGCCCGCACCACACCAAAGCGACCCCTGTGCGTGTGTGGGGGACACCACAGGCTCAGCAGGCAGGAGGGGACACTCGCATTGTGAGAGCTAAGGGGGCAGCAGGGACTCCTGGGGACAAGAGTTCACCCCTAGGAACCAGGGTTCCAGCTCCACCCGCGCACCTTAGGGAAACCCCATAACTTTTTCTCTGCTTTCTCATCTGTGAGAAAGTGCTTTCTCTGCTTTCTCATCTGTGAAATGGTGATGATACTGCAGAGCCTCCGTCTCAGAGTGGTGGAGACCACATGGCCAACAAGCGATGCCTGGAGCTCAGTTCCGAGTCCCCAGCCCAGCCGCCCGGTCTCCCCCCACTCCCCACATCCCAGCCCTCTCGCGCCTCGTCCTCCTTCCCCTCCCCAGCCCTGCTTGCCTGGCCTTCTCCTCCAGAAAGGTGTAGGGCTTCTGGGGGAGGCCCTGTCGGAGAGCGGTGCCCTCGGGCCTGGGAGAGCTGGGAGGACCGCCCCCCGGGGAGCCCACCACCTCCTTGGCTGGGCTGAGGCTCCGCACGGTCACCTTGATGGGCTCAGGAGGGGGCTCAGGGGCTGGGGGCTCAGGGGCTGGGGGTGCAGACACAAAGGAAGTGACCATATAGAGCGGAGTACGGGAAGACGCTGGTTTAGCCCCTTGAGGGGTGGGGGCTGGGGTCGGGCTCCCAGCGTCAGGGACTGAAGGCTTGGGCTCACTTGGGGTGACCTGGGTGCTAGATGGAGTGGGCTCTGCTTGCCGGGTGGCCTGCAGGCCCCTGTGCTTTCGTGGGGGGGTTTGGGGTGGTGGACCCACAGCCTTGAGTGAGGACAAGGTCTGGTTGGGAGAGGTGGGCGCAGATGGGGGGCTGAGAGTGACTGACGGGGGCACTGGGGTAGGGGCCAGTGAGGTAGGAGAGTCAGAAGGCGGGGCCCTGGCTGGCCCTGAGGTAACAGGGGCGTCTTGGTGGACAGCAGACGGCAGAGCTGGAGACTCTAAGAGGAAGCAAAGTGACCATCAGGGAGTCAGGCACAGGGTGGACCCTGGGTTCAGGGTTCCCTTCCTTCTCCCAAAGCCTCGCCAGCCCACTGACCTTGAGTGCCCCTGACGAGGACCCTCTCGGAAGGGTTGCTGAAGGGCCCCTGGCCGGCACGGTTGGCACAGGCCACCCGGAACCTCACGGTCATGCCGACGGGCAGGTGTGTCACGTTGTAGTAACAGTCGGGGATGCCTGAGCTCACGGGGTGCCAAGCAGACTCCCCTGCAGGCAGCAGGGGGGAGTGGATGAGCCCCAAGCCCCCAGGACCACCTGAGAAGAGCTCCAGGAGGAGACTTCTGCCCTGGAGGGCACTCGCCTCCCCAAGCTCCTCTCTCTGCCACCGCCACCCCATCCTGCCCCGTCCCTTACCATCCACCCGCCGCTCCAGTGTGTACGTGCAAGGGGCCCGGCTGTCTCCTGGCTTCCACAGCACCAGCGCCGTGTCCTGGTAGGTCTGGGGCACCTCTGGAGGAGCCAGCTTCCCTGGGACACCTGGCAGCGAGAGGGCGATAGTCCCAGGGAGCCCCCAGCCCCAGCAGAGGGCCCATCACCCTCTGTCCCACCATTTCCCCGTCCCCTCCCCCAGCCCGAGACCCTGCCCCAGGCTCACGGGCCACGGCGATGGTGCAGGAGCTGGTGATGCTGCCTAGGACGTTGGTGGCTGAGCACTCGTAGAGGCCGGCATGGCGCTTGCCTGCCCGGGGGATGCTTAGCAGCTGCCGCCCGTCTTTGCAGGACACGATAACCACTGAGGGCTCTGAGTGCAGAGACTGCTTGTCTGTGGGTGAGCAGGAGCCAGAGGGGCTGCTGAGTGAGGGGTGCTTGTCTAGGCACTCCCACTGGCCCTCCACCCCAGCATCCCTCAGCCATGTTCAGCCCAGGCCCTGGCCTCTCCCAGCCCCTTCTCTGTAACCTCCTTACCTTTCATCCAGGAGATGCGGGGTGCAGGGCAGGCCGCGGGCAGGCAGAGCAGGGTGGCTGCCTCTCCCTCCAGCAGCACCTGGTCCTTGAGTTTGATGTGGAAGACTGGGGGGAAGTCTGGAGGGAGAGCAAAGACTGCCGTCTGTCTGGGGGACCCTGGCTCACTGACACCCTCCCAGGGAGGGAGGATGCACTTGAGCACTGGCACAGCCAGCAGGAAGCAGACGAACATGGAACCCCACGCCGAGCCTCAGTCCTCAGCGAATTTTCTTTGGAGCGAGCACCACTGTCCTCAGGCCCCTGCTGTGTGTAGAACTTTCTTTCCTTCGCACTAGCCAAGATGCTTGGTAACTCGCTCCTTTGCTTGTAAACCATTTAGGGCAGAGCAGTAAGCAGTCTATAAGCCTTTCTTAGATAAAATAGTCATACGGAATGCCAAGAACGGGGAGGATCCTGCAACGTCTACCTGCTCTGGGGTACCCCAGCACAAGGGATGAGGACCAGGAGAAAAGAGCGGGCGGCTTGAGCTGAGATGGGTTTGGACAGAGGACGTGCCGTCCCAGCATTCAGTCTCAAAGGATCTGGGGGCCGGTGCTGGGGCACAGTGGGTTAAGCCTCCGTCTGCAGCTCCCGCATCCCATACAGGAGCCGGTACGAGTCCTGACTGCTCTCGAAGGATCTGAAGTCCAGGCACACTGTGGGTGAACCCCAGATGAGCGCCAGCCTCCCTGCCCCTCTTCTCACCTGGGATCTGCGCAGGGGCTCCCAGACCTTCCACACACTTAGTGGCCAGACCTCTGGTGGGGCGGGGGGGGGAAGGTTGGGGGGGCAAGGGACAGACCCTGCATGACCTTATCATTTACTCGGTCAGCGGCTCCATTTCTGCACATTGAGAACGATAATGATAACCCCAAGCTCAGAGGGTTGCTAGCAGAACTCGGAGGGCTGTGAATTGCTTAGCATGCATCTGACATACAAGAAGTGCTCCTAAGTATTAGTGTTTATTGATGTTGTTATTATGTCCTTGACATGTCCTGTAGAGAGGCCTCAGAGGAAAAGGCTGTTCAGGAAAGCAGAGATGCGGTCTCCATAGCCGGCTGGGGACTTCGCCTCTGGCAGGCCTGAGGATGGGGCTCCTTAGTGCCACGGGGGTTGGAGCTTGTGACCCTGAGAATGACGCTTTAGGAAAATCCCAATATGAACTTGGCCTCTTGGGATGGCGGTTGGGGTGGGGGTGATTCTCACCCAAGAGACCCTGAGAGGCCCAGCTGTGTCTGTCTGAAGAACTAAGATGAGTGGGAGTGGGGGTGAGCCATCCAGGAGAGGCGGCAACGTGTTCCCCCGACTTCCCACTGTGCCCTACTGCTCTCCCAGGAGGGGTCACATGCTGAAGCCCCCACAATATGGCGTGAGCATATTTTCACCAGTGGCTGCCTTCAGACCAAGTGCAATACTGGGTAGGGGGGCATGGAGGGGAGCCAGGAGGAGAGGTGAAAGGTGGGCCAGGCCAGCTCCGTCAGCCTCAGCCCTGTTCCCCCAGGGCCGGCTCTAGCTGGTAAAGCGGACGTGGGACAGCGGGCAAGGAGGAGGTCAGGAGTTGCTGCTGCCTTGGCAGGAAATCAGCTGCACAAGCAAAACGGAGCTGGGAGGGAGGCCCCAGGTGGGAAGGGGTCAGCTGTCCCCAGGCCTCTCTCTGCTGGCTGCTCTCCCCACTCACCCCATCAGCTGGCCTCCCACCCCAGCTCCCAAGGTCCTGGTCAAGGCCAGCTGGGCAAGGCCGGAGCCCCCAGGAGACCCGGAGGATGGGCTGGTGGCTTCTGCAGATCCAGCCTGCAGCCTGGCTGGGTGGCCGGCTCCTCGCCTGCCCCTCAAAGCCTTTGCATGAAGGCCTTTTCAGGCATGGGGGTGGGGGGGCTGGGTGGCCCCGAGACACTCGGGCAAGAAACAGACCAAGGCACTCCCCCCTCCCCCAGCCCCAGCAAAGAGCCCTGCAGGCTGCTTTTTGGTGCTGGTGTGTCTCTCTCTGCTGGGACAAGGAGAGCCTGGGAGTGGCGGCAGGTGTTCAGCACCATAGGGAAATGGAGAACTGAGGGCACAGTCCAGACTGGTTCTCTAGGCTGGGAGAGAAAGTGAGTATCTTGGGGTGTACACGCAAGCACTCACGCACCTGAAGGGGGTGGGGAGCCCTAGCCCGAGCGATTTCAAAATTGTGTCGTCACACTAACCATCCAGGATTTTCCCACAAGAGATGAGGCCAAAGACAGGCCTAAGCTTGGTGCCCCAAAGCCACCCTGGCACTGGGCTGCCATGGGTCACACGTCCCAACCCCAGCTGCTCTGCTTCCTAGCTCTGAGGCTCGGACAAGCTACAGCGCATCACAGCACTCTGCCTGTTTCCTCCTCGCCTGGAAGATAGGGACGATGATGAGAAGGCGTCCTAAGCTAGGCTGCAGAACCGAAGGAGGCTGCGACTGGGCAGTGCTTAACGGGACCCCTGGCTTTGCTAATGAGTGGCAGCGGCTGCTGTTATTTGCTGTGCTATTTTTCCTGACTCTAGGCTCCTTCCAGGCTCCATGGAGGCAGCGCTTGGTGCTCAGTCATGACTTCCTGGTGCTGGGAGGGGGGCCCCCCACCCTGGTGGTGGTGGTGGTAGTGGTGGTGGTGGGGGCCCCGCCCAGCAGCAGCTCCCAAACACCCCCGCCTCGTCCTAGTAGCAGGCCTCTTACCTGACTCACTACGCACATACGGGTGACCCAAGTCCTCCTGGACGCTGGCAGTCAGGTTTGGCTGTGATAAACCCTTGTCCTTCTTCAGCCGCGAGAGACCCCAGCGGCGCCTGCTGCGGCTTTCCCCTGGAGCTGCGAAGACCCGGGCCCATAAGCGCTTGCCCAGCCAGCTCAGCTCTCAGCATCCCCAGCCCAGCCTCCATCCTGCCAACCCCACCCTCGGGGCCTCCAACCCCACTGCAGCCGCTTGCTGGTGGGTGTCCCCAGCCCCCACCACTTCCCGGAAGCTCCCTCCAGGGCACCACACCCGCTTCAACTCTCTGCACCTGCCACTCCTCACCTGAGGAGCCCGACGTGGCGCTGGCCTCGGAGCCCAGAGACTCTGCCGAGGGAGTGGCGGCCCCGGCCTGAGCAGCCAGCTGGTTGTGCGGGAGCCCGAAGCGCCGCAGACTCTCGCCCTCGGACGTGGCCCTACGCAGCCGTCCGAACAGTGGCGTGCTGCGGCCAGATGCGCTGCCCGAGTCCTCGCTGCTGCCGCTGCGCTGCAACCGGCTGGACAGCCGCTCCAGCGTGGAGCTGAGCCTCCTGCGCACCGCCAGCACCGGGGAGCCCCGCGCCGAGCTGCCGCCCTCCGAGCTCTCCCCGTCCCCGCCGCGCGCCTCCCAGGCCGGGTGGCGCTGCGCGGGCGGGGTCCGCCGCAGCCGCTGGGACAGAGACAGCGAGAGGCGGCGCACGAGGCCAGGCTCCCCGACAGCCCTGAGGTCCTGCACGGAGCGCGAGCGCTCGGACCGTCGCACCAGCTCCAGCGGGGTGCCCGCTGGGCTGGGCCGGTATATGCCGTCTTCCTCCTCGCCACCGCGGAAGGGGCCGCGCTCCTCTGAGCGCGAGCGGCTCAGCAGCCGCAGCCCCCGCGACAGGGGCGACTCGCGGCTGCGCTTGAACTTGGCCTCGAACACGGCCTCTGATTCTACGTTCTCGATGCTCCCGCTGAGGCTGCTGCCTGGTCTGGGCGGCACCGTGGGGACCGGCGCTTTCTCGATGAGCGCCGAGGGAGGCCCGGCGGAAGGCACGCGCTTCTCGAGGGCTCCCGGGGGCGGGGAGGCCACCCTGGCGAACACGGCCTCGTGGGGCTTCGGCTCGGCCGGAGGCGCGGCAGGGCCCTGCGGGGCGCCCTGAGCGTGGCCGGACAGCTGGAGCGACTGCATGATCTGGGCATAGGGCGTGAGGGGCAGCGCTGGGGTTTGCAGGGCCACGGGGGCCTGCGAGGGCTTGGAGACCCTGACTACTTCGGGCCTGGGCTCTGGGGCCCTCTGGGCGGGCTGGGGCGCATCACTGGGCTCGGTGGCAGAAGGCTCTGCAGGCTTGGGGGCGCCGGATTTAGGGGTGCTGGGCCGCACCGGGCTGGATGGCTGCGCCTCGCTGAGGGCAGACAGGGAGGGGGACTCCTGCAGCCTGCGGGCCCCGAGCCTGGCCACGGGGATTTCGAGCGGCGCCCCCGCGCGGCGGTGCCGACCCCGGGGCTCCGCCTCCCCCTGTGAGAAGCTACTGCTCTTTTGCAGGCCCCGGGTCTCGGGCGGGGGCTGGTGCTGGGGCGCTGCTTCGCTGGAGGCGGCTCGCGCCATTCGGGGGTCCCGGGCACGGCCGCCCAGGCTCTCCAGCAGGGGGCCCCTGAGGCCGCTGACCTTGCCGCCCTCGGGACCTCCGCGCAGCAGCCGCTGGCGCAGAGCCTGCAGCCTCTGGGCGTACTCACCCTCCCCCAGGCCTGCCCGGGCCAGGCGGGTGGCCCCCGGGCTGGGGCTGCGGCGCTGCGGCAGCTCCACAGACGCCGCCTTGTGCAGGCCCCGGCCCAGCTCCCGCGGCCCGGCTCGGGGCAGGGCGCTCTCGGCAGAGCTGCCCCTGCGCAGCTCTCCCCGCCTGGGGCTGGTCCCAGCCGGGGGCTCGAGGCCTGGGGAGGGGAGGGCCTGAGGGCTGGAGGCCTCCTCGTCAGGAGCGGGAGCCCTTCCTTGCTCTTGCCAGTCCATGGGGGTGGCCGTAGCTACCCCAGCCTCTGGGGTCCCCAGGGCCTCATCCTCGGTAGGAATGTCGGTGAGGGACACCCGGGAACCCGAAAACTCCGGCTGCAGGGGGCGTGGCACGGAGGGCAGTTCTTCCAGCTCCTCCTCTTCAGAGTCCGAGGAAGATGAGAGACCCCCGCTGGGGAGTGGCCTCCGAGGCATGGCCACCCACACCCGCTCTGGGGGCGCCCGCAGCAGCTCAGGGATGGGGCGCAGCACCAGGTGGCACTTGTAGCTGATCTGTGAGCGCTGGAGACAGGGTACTAGAGTCAGACCAAGGGATGTCCGCCTGGGGTTGGCCCACCCAGGCCCAGCCCAGAGGTCGGGGAAGGAGGCCTAAGGCTGGCAGAGGGTCAGACCTCCGGGGGAAAGCTGAGAACTCAGACGATAACAAGCAGGGAGATGGAGGAGCAGGCAGGTGCCAAGGGCGTAAGCTAGGAAGGGCGTGGCCAGAGGGAGACGGTGTGGAAAGGACAGGGGCAAGGTGGGGGCCCAACTCACCTGCCACCGCCGGCGGGACAGGAAGAGCTTCAGGTGATCCGTGCTCACCTCTGCGCCCTTTGCCTGGGTCTGCATCCCGGGGAAAGAGGGACAACTGTCACCCAGACCCTCGAGGCTTGGCGATGGAGGGACAAAGTCCAGGGGACACAGTGGACAGAGCTGCACTGGGCCTGGGCGGCTGGCAGTCCCCTCAGCCAGCATATACACATGCTGACCCCCAGGAGAGCTGACACCAGGGCTCCAAGTGTACCAACTGCTCAGGGAGTCTGTGCTGTCAGCTCCCCAGTGAGCTCCTCCATGCAGGGCCAGCACCGCAAGTGTCTGGACTTCGGTGGCCCAGACCAAGATACATGCTGCCCTCAGCCACCTGTCCAGGCTCCTGGACCTTGTTCTGGCTGCAGCAGGGGTGGGGGCAGGCCCCTCACTGCAAGGACTGATCCCAGCATGAGCTCAGCCTGCCGCTGGCCCAGCACGATGGTCCATGGGCAGTTTACACAGGTGCTCTTTCTGGAATGGTTTGCTGACCATCGCATACCTCACCCCTGGCCTGTGCCCTGAGGTGCCCAGTGAGAACCCTGCCCACATGGGGCTCCTAAGAGAGGGGCTGAACCAGCCAGGCCACCCACCCACCCACCATCGTGTGTGGGACCAGGCCAGGACACAAACACAGGCTGGTGTCCAGCACCAGGAGACCCCCAGTGAAGACCCCCAGGATGGAGGTCCAGGCCCGTGCCTTGGAGTCCACTATGCCCTGATTTGATCCCAATTTGAGCCTTAGTTTCTTGATCAACAAAATGGGAGTACTATTACTGTCCTTGGCAAAGCTCTTATACAGCTGCTAGATCTCCACCTATAAAATGCTCATGCTGGTTACTGCACATAGTAGGTACTCAAAAAATGGGCTAGACTCACTTTGAACCAGGGATGCTCCAGGGTCTCTTCCGCGGTAGGTCGTCTGTAAAGGGATGAGGAGTAAGAAGCAATTTATCATTCACTCATTCAACCAATGTTTGAGAAAATGGGGCCTCTAAGGAAGTTAGGGGTGTGCATGTCCGAGCGCAGAGGCTTGGAAGGAGCAGACAGGAGGGCCTGGGGACCTCCACAGGTAGCGGTGGGGCTCGCACTCACAGCCGGTCCTGCACCAGCACTTTGATGAGGAAGGCCCGGGCCTCCCGGCTCAGGCTCAGGAACGTGTTCTCCTCGAAGGCCACGTTGTAGTTCCGGATGTTCATGAGGGTCGTGCGATCGTTCTCCCCCACAAACGGGGAGATGCCGGTCAGGCTGCGGGGCGTGGACAGGGCCATTGTGAGAGGCGGGCAGGGCCCTGGGCCTGAGGCAGAGACCACGGGGGATGCCAGCGGGGGCACAGGGCCAGGCCCAGGGCAGCAGAGACTGGGCGAATCTGGGCAAGAAGCCAAAGCTTCCTGACTCCTGCCTGTCCCGCTCCCAGTCCAGGCCTCTGGGTGCTTTGGACAGAGCGGCACGGAGCCTGCGCTGGCCTCTCCCCAGGCACTGGGCCTGCCTCTGGTGAAGGGGCGTGGTGGGGGACACAGCGTGGACATGCAAACCCAGGCATCTGCATTCATGCACAGGAAGCCCCCTGCAGTGCAGGAAGGAGCATGGGGTGTGGAAGAGGAGGGGTGGGCTGCGGGCCCTGCATGTGTCAGGGGTGGGCCTGCAGGGGTCCTTACCAGAGGAAGGCAACGACGCCCACGGGCCTGTGGGGAAAGGAGAGTGGGTGGGTAAGAAGACAGCGCACCTCCTGCTGGAAGTGAACAGCTCCCTGCCATGCTAGTCCGGACAATGGGCCCCGGAGTGGCAAACAGCGCAAACAACGGACCCAGGAGTGCCTCCCTCTCTCCTGCACGGAGGACCTTATGCTCCAGGGTCCACACGTGCCCGGAGAAGTCGGGGGTTTTAGGGGTCATGGCAGGCTGGCACAGGAATCCCAGAGAAGCCCATTCTGGCCTCACTGGAGGCGCGGTGGCTGCAGAGAGGGAGCCCTGGATCTGAGTGACTGGGCCAGCCTTGACTGATGAGGGGCAGGAGACCCTGTGAGGGCTGCCCCCAGCCGACTGTCAAGAGAAGGAACCCAGGCTGAGTACGGCTCCTCTCTGCCTGAGTCCCCCGCCCAGTGCAGGCCCAGCATGCCAGCATTACCAGATGTCTGTGACTCCAGACACTGGGCTCTGGTTGACGATCTCAGGTGCCACGAACTCAGGTGTGCCGTAGTGGCAGTACTGGGGCTCCCCTGGAGTCAGCTCCTGGGCGTTCCCAAAGTCACAGATGCGCACCTGCTCTTCCCCCTCGGCCCCGTCCCACACCAGCAGGTTCTCAGGCTGCAAGACCCAAGGCGAGGTGTGGGAGCTGAGTAAAGGGGGTGACAGGCCCCTTCTTGGCTTCACCACAGGCCTGCCCTCAGCTCCCCACCTCACCTTGACATCCAGGTGCAGCACATGGCTCTGGTGCAGGTAGCAAATTCCCTCCAGCACCTGCCGCATATAGGCCCGGATCTGTAGAGACAGGGTGCCCAGAGTCCTTGGGGATAGGGTGTGGTACCATGTTCGCTCATCACCAGGGCTGGGGCGAGTGGTCAGGCCATGTCCAGGACTGGCCTTCAGAAGCCTCGTGGAAGAGTTTGAGACACAGGCTCAGGATTGCAAGGATGCAGGCTACTGTGTGCATGTCCAGCTGCACAGGCTGGGCACAGCGAGTTGCAGGCAGGAGCCATGTCTGTTATTGTGGAACTGTGCAGGGCACAACTTGCACGGCCCTCCATGGCAGGAGTGCCGAGCGATGAGTGGAGTCTGAGTGGGGCTCCTTCCAGGAGAACCGTTTGGGGAATGTTGATGACAAGAAGACTGGGAAGTGCAGAGTTGGGGGGCTGCGGTGGGTGTGCTGGGATTTGGAGGCGATGGCCCACGTCCCCAGGAGTTGGGGTCTGGCCTCAGGCCCTCTGCTGCTCTCACAATGCTCCCTGCCACCACCCTGGCTTCCTGGTGGCACAGATGGCATGGCCGGGACCCACCTGTTGGTTCTCAGAGCCCAGGCGGGTGAAGGCTGGTGCCCAGCCTGGCCCCTGCCACCCACTGCCCTCACCTCAGACTCACACACGGTGGGTTTCCTGGCCATTCGCTCCAGCAGCTCCTCTGTGCAGCTGTGTCCAGGATCAAGGAGAATGGTGACAGTGCCGAGCGCCTGGCCCACCCCAGGGCTCAGGGCAGGCTCCAGCTCGGGACAGGGCTCTCCTTCCCCTGCCAGCGCCTCCACCCTCCCCTGGGCACAGGAGTGCCCCGAGGGACAGCCCTGTTGCGTTCTCCCTGGCTGTGGGTCTTGGGCAAGTCACTAAACCTCTCTGAGCCTAGGTGCCCTCAACTGTACAAAGGGGCTAACATTTCCTCTCCAGACTGCAGCAGGATTTTGTTGGGTGAGGTTGAAATAGGTTTCTGTCAAACTCCTAGAAGATTGCCAGGCACGCATTCAATGCTATGTGAGTTGAAGCTAATAAATGCTGGTTTTCATGGAAGTTTCCAGACTGACCTCTCCTGTCAACAGGACCATCTTGTAAACTGTAAGGCAGGTTGCCGATTGGCTGTTAAAGGGATCTGACACTCAGACATGGCACCACCACCCCCTCCGCTCCCCAGCCTGTCCTAGGATACAGCTCGGTGACAATGACCAGTCCCCGGCGCCTCTCGAAGGCTTCATGGAAGTAGAGGACACAGTCATGTTGGAGCCGGGCCAGCAGCCGGGCCTCGCGCCGGGCTGACGCCTTGGGTTTGGCCTGGCTGGGGATGAACTTGGCGGCAAACTCCAGGCCAGAGCTGCGCTCCACCACGCGACGCAGATAGGAGAAGGCGCCCCTGGTGGCACAGGGAGGGGGCAGGGCTCAGCGATGTTGCAGCCGTGGGCCTCCACACACCCCCTCCCGCCTGGTCCTGGGGACCCCGACAGCAGCAGCTCCCACCCAGACCCCCACACCTGCCGATCTCCTGGTGGATGTCATAGAAGTCGCTGAGTCTCCGCCCCCGGTGCTCCTCGTCTTCCCTGACCCCCTCGACCTCCATGGCTGGCTGAGCTGGTGGGGAGACAGCCTGGTGTTAGGTGGAAGGTAAGAAAGGGACAGGGCCTGAGGAGGGAGGGGGAGGGGGCGAATGTTGGGGCCCATGGTGGGGATACTGGGCGGGCAGAGGGAAAGGCCGGGTGCTTCCTAACAGGGTGGGGGCTCCCATCACGTCTCTGGGAAGGGCCCCGGAACCCAGCCCACCTGACTGCACAGTCAGCTCTGCTTTGCAGGAGACTTCGCCCGCCAGGTTCCGGGCCGTGCAGGTGTACACACCCCCGTCCTGGGCCCCCGTGCTGAGCACCACCAGGGAGCACTCGTTCTCCTCGTACACAAAGCTCACATGGTTGCTCTCGGCCAGCAGCACCTCGTCCTGCAGAGCTGGGTGTCAGCTGCAGCCCAGGCCTGGCCTTGCCTCCGCCAGGCGGGGAGCCAGCCACATTTCCAGTGCAGGCCCACAGCCTCTCTGCCAGGCCCCACCCTCTTCCCCACCCCCCCCAACCCCCCCAGGACCCAGCTCAGCTCCTCCTCTCATTCCCTCGGGGAGCCCTGCATACTTCAACTGGCCCCTGGTCCCTGCTTCCTCCTCCTGCGTGGGCTCCCAGGCTCCCAGACAGCCCCAGGCTAGGACTCCCCTCCACAGCCTGCAAGGTCACCCTCTGACCTTGTACCACATGATGTCCGGCAGGGGTTTCCCCTCGACCACCACGGCAAAGCGGGCCGTCTCCCCGGCCCCCACCTCCACATCCTCCATGATGGACTCAAACCGAGGCGCCTCTGCAACACACAGCGATTTGTCATTGTCCCCAGGGCCCGCCTCCTCAGCCCCTCTCCAAATTCCTCATCAGCAGCAGCTCAGGCAGAGCAAGCTGAGCCCCCAGCCCACCCCCTCGGGACGCAGTTCCTCGCCTGGACCACGCGCCCTCCTTGTAATCCCAACGTGATGTTTTCCAAATTGCAGAGAAACTGTCGCGAGGTGCAGGCTTGCTCTGTTTGACCCTCATTGTTCGCTTGCCAGCTTTGAAATTAGGAGATTTCCACACACAAAAGAAATCTGGATTTCCTGCCTCTCTTGAAAAATCAGGACTGGCCATTCTGAGCGGCTTCCCTGCCTGCATTAATCAGCCTGCGCCGAGCGGCTCAAGGCTGCCCCCTGTGGGTGATTGCCTCACTCACAGTCCCACTCCCTTGCTTCCCCTATTCGACCACTATGTGGCTGCTGCAGGCTGCTCAGTCTATGACCCAAAATTAAGTTCCTGAACAGCCTGGATTCTGGATTCTCTCGGAGTCTTATTTAAATATTTGATGGGGGAGGAAAAGGCTGGCACTGTGGCGTAGAAGGTTAAGCCACCACATGGGTGCCGGTTCGAGTCCTGGCTGCTCCACTTCAGATCCAGCTCCCTGCTAATGGCCTGGGAAAAGCAGCAGAGCATGGTCCAAGTGCTTGGGCCCCTGTCACCCATGTGGGAGACCCAGAAGAAGCTGCTGGCTTCATTGTGGCCATTTGGAGAGTGAAACAGTGGATGGAAGATCTCTCGCCCGCTCTGTCTCTCTCAACAGAACAATCTAGAAACTGACTCTTAGCTTGGTTCTCCCACAAGTGGCTGTGCCTGTTTTCTCTGCACACGTCATGTGGCCACATTATTTCCTGGTACCACGGAGAAAAATGCATCTCACGCTGGAGAAATATGCATTGCTTTGGCTTTGCTAAGGAGCTGATGGCCGCTAGGTGTCTCCCTCCCAAGCACATTTGAGGATCTGGGCTTTCAGGGGAGCAGGGGTGTGGCCGCGATCAGAACACCACCTATTTATTTCCCCATCCTCCACTCGCTTTGTTGCAGACAGCAGCAGAGGCCGAGATGGGAGTGGGGAAGACGTTGCCTGGGGCAGATGTGGAGGTGCAGGCACTGCCACCGACTTGTCCCACTGGGAGAGATCAGAAGGCAGGGCCTGGTGGGAGGCAGGGTTCATACAAGCTCCAGGCTCATTTTAGCTCTGGCTGGCTGGGACACAGCCACTCTAAGTACTGTCCCAGCCAGTGAGGCTGTAGGGCTATTGGGGCCAGGGCCTCCCCAGGTCCCCGGGCTCCTCCTGTAGCTGGAGAGAAAAGAGTCGTGCAGGTGGCACTGTCCAAGAACGAGCTGGTGGCTCAGTAGGAAGTGACAGGGGTAGGGGCAGAGGGTGGGCAAGAAGGAAGACTCATAGAAGGGACAGCATCCTGGGCCCAGAGGATCCCACCCCCCACCACGCCTTCCTCCCCCACCCCGCTGCCTCCCCTGGTCCCTCTCTTCCCTGTTCTCTAGGGTCTGTGAAACTCAAAGCTCTGAAAGGTTTCAGGGGTGTGAACATCAATGATTTTTTTTTGAGTGCCAGAAATGCCCATTTTCCTGTACGATTGCCCGTGCTAACTAAAATGTCCCTTTTTCTTGCTTTTCACTGGACTTGGATCAACTCAGTAGGTGACCGCTGCTCAGCTCGTGTGGATCTGAAGTTCTGAGTGGCGGCTGCATGTGTCCAGAGTTAATTAGCAAACAGGAAAACAAAACAATTACTACCTGCTGCCTGGAGAGCCACGTGGCTAGAGGAGAGTTTCCAAAGAGGGGTCTTAGTCGCAAAGGCTTGTGGGGGAGGGTGGCTGTGCAAAGCGGCTCCCTCAGAAGGGCAGTTGGGATCTCCGAGCCCAGAGCCTGGTGATGCGACGCCCTCACGGGCTTTTGCAATTTCTAACTAACTCGCTGCTCCTCTGCTGGCCACATTTGAAAGGCTCCTTCCTGTTGCGCGAGCAGCACGCGCTGGCTTTGGAGTTGGACATCAGAGTTGAGCCCAGCTCCTGCACTTGTTAGGCTGAATGACCTAGGCTGCTTACTTGGCTCTTTGAGCCTCACTTTCCTCATCTATAAAATGGGGATAATAACCGACCCCATCTCACGACAGGGATGTGAACACTGAAGGTGATTTATGCTGAGCCTGGCATACACTAGGTGTTCAATAAGAATCTCATTAGCATTGTTACTGCTAGAGGTACTGCTACAGCCCTGGAAGGGCAGGCTGAGAGGGAGAACATGGGATTGGATTCCCAGCAGTGGCAGTGGGTGTGTGCAGCTAGAGGTGGGAGGGGGAGAGCCGTGGGCCTCAGAGGCAGGACCGAGAAGGAGGCCCAGTGTCACTCACCTGCCAGCTCCAGGGTGACCGAGCAGGCCTGCGTGCCGTGGCGGTTGCGGGCAGTGCAGGTGAGGGGCCCCAGGTCCCGGCGGCTCACCCGGCAGATCCGAAGACAGTACTGGTCGTCATCCGGCTGGCTCAGCTCGTACACCCCTGCCCGGGCCTCCAGGAGGGCCCCTCGGCAGCTGGGGACACACGACAGGGAGGCCACCCTTGCAAAGAGGCCCAGCGAGGCCGGGCTGTCACACACTGGGGGCAAGGGCCCTACCTCCTCCAGACGACCTGGGCCTCCACACGGTTGAAGGTGACAGTGACACTGGCAGGCTGTCCCTCTACCACATACACGACGTCTGGTCTGTCCAGCACGGCGGGGGCCTCCTCCAGGGGTGGGCCTGGGAAGAGGAGAACGCAGGCTGTGTGCCGGGGTTCACAGCAGCCCGGTGGCACCTGCTGCTCCTTCAACACCACCAACCACCACCTGGCTCCCTTTAACCGATGAGGAAGCTGAGGCTTGGGGTGGGTTAGCAGTTTGTCCAGGCAGCACAGCCAGGAAGCGGCAGAGGCAAGAGAGCTGGAGCCCAGCTTGTCTGAATCCCCCAGCTTCCGCGGCCCCCAGTGCCCTGCTGCTTTCAAAGCAAGAAGGGAGCACCCTGCGGGGCCGGGGTCCCTCCCGGCCACAGGGTTCCGCCTCAGTTATCAAGTCCAGACCAGCCCTGCAGCCTCTACAAGGCTCCGGCCCAGCACCCCCCACTGCCACCCCCAGGGGGCGCCCAGGCTCACCTCGCTCCAGTAACTGCACGGGCTCCGAGGGCGGTGAGGGCTTGCTGCTGCTCTTGCCAGCTATGCTCAGGACTCGGAAGACGTGCTGGACCCCTTTCCGCAGCCCCGTGGCCGCCCACCCTGGCTCCCGCAGGCCCGTGGCCAGCACTGTCCACTGGTCGGTGCCCAGCACCTGGTGCTGCACGGTGTACATCAGGGAGTCCGGGTCTGGCGGGGGGAGGCAGCTGCTAGAGGCTGATGTGCTGGGATGGCACCCCACCCCCACCCCACCAGGCACATCCAGCTGGCTGGGGACCCTGGGACTCCCTGGTCTGATGTGCAGGCCTAACAGCTTCTCCTGTTGCGCTCTGCCTCCCCACCTGCTCTCGGCCAGTCACTGCCCGGCCACCCTCAGAGCCAGTGAGGGACCGGTTACGGGCTGCAGGGAGCCAGACCTCGTGTTTTGCAGTTTCCTTGCTGCCTGAGGCACAGCAGAGGAAAAGATTCTGGACAAGGGAAGGTGGGGGTTACAAGAGCGGCACCCACAGTCCCCCTGAGACAGGGAGGTGCCTGTGTCTCCTCTCCTGCCCCAAGGCGAGGGCCTCCTCCACCAAGCAGAAGGTGGCACAGCTATTCCTGGCCATGCCCCCTGAGTTCCATCCACTCCCACCCCCCACCACATGCTACTGGGGCTCAGCTCCCTTGGAGCCGCTGCCTGAGCCAGTTGTGGCCACACCCCGTCCCCACCCATAGCCCCGCATGGCCCTGACCCACCGATGGCCATGTCCAGACTCCTGGGCGGGTTCCACATGAGCGTGACCATCCTCCCGGTCACAGCCACCACCTGCGGGGCACCATCGGGGGGGCCTGGAACCACATCTGAAAGGCACAGGTCGGAGGCCCGTGGGTCCTTCAGAGCCTCACAGCTCCACAGGGTCACCAGGCTTTGGGCAGGGGCTGGTGGCCGCGGGCTCAGACACAGGGGTGGAGGGGAAGGGAGCTGGCGTGGAGGCCCCTCCCTTGCACAGCCCCCGAGCAGGACTGCAGGCAGGCTATGGACACAGCGACCCAGGCAGGTGCCTGTCTCACCTGTGACGTACAGGTGGGCATAGCAGGCAGCTTTGCCCAGCTTGTTGGCGATGACACTCTTGTAGACTCCGGCATGCTGCGGCCCCACGGCCGGGAACACCAAGCGATGCACGTCCCTGTCTGGGGGGGACGGGGAAGCGGTGACAGTGACAGTGGGGCTGAGCTAGGAGGATACTTTGAGGGGAAGGCCTGTGTCATCCCAGCCTGACCCTCTCACCGCACCCTCAACCAGGAGGAGGCAAAGGAGAAAGGGCAGGACAGGCAGCAAAAGATGTATGCTCTCTGGAGTAAGCTCCGGGGCCGGCAGCCGCCCTGGCCCTCTTGCCTGGCTCCCAGCACGCCAGGCCCAGCGACTTAGCATCTTCCTCCCACACTGGGCCACGGTCTGGGCTCACAGTCTCCGCCTAGAGTTCTGATAAGGCTTTGTCCCTAAGACACTTCCCGGAGGCCCCTCATCTCCATCCCAGTCTCCCGCAGAGCCCTGAGAAAGCAGGACAGCCGTAGCTGCAGCCCAGGCCCCCTCGTCACACCTGCTGCTGTCCCTCCCCAGCCTGACCCAGCCAAGCCATCAGGTCCCTGACCCAGTTGCCTGAGTTCCATCTCTGGGTCTCTGTTCATGAAACTCCTCCCTTCTGGAACATTCTCCTCCTAAGGCTTACCCAGTTCCAGCGAAGGCAGCCCTGTGAAACCTCCCCTTGCTTTGCCCCGGGGCCCTCTCCACCCTTCCTGACTCCCTCCAAGGCTGGGCACCAGGTTCCACCTGTCCTGGGGGTTCTTCCTCTTAACTTGCATGGAGACTTGGCCTACAACTTCCTTAAAGACACAGCTGCCTCTGTTCAGCAGGCCCAGAACCGGAAGCTCGCATGCAGTAAGTAGCAGATACCTCCTGCCATAAGTCACAGTTTCTGCTCTGGGCCCAGCCCACACCAGGTTCTTGACATGCTTTCCCTCGCCTCCTAATCCTTTGAACAACCCTACAAAATTACCTCGGTATTACCAGTGAGGTCAGGGACATTAATGGACTCATCCAAGGTCACACAGCTAATAAATAATGAAGCCAGGCTGGAACTTGGTTCCATCGCATTCCAAAGCTCCTTCCTCACAAGGCCTGCTCCCTAAATGACAAGGAGGCTGTCCCTGACTCCACACTGTCTTCCTTCTTCACATCAGGCTGTCCCCAGACACCTCTCCCTTCTCGTGGGGGTTATCTCCGCACAGAACTGTCACTCACTCACTTATCTCTGCTGACACTGTCTATAAGGCAGAGAAGCCACGAGCTGCCAGCGACCCCAGACGCCAGCTGAGACAGACACGGACCGGGCCCCCAGAGCAGAGCAGAGCAGACAGGGTGCAGCTGAGCAGCACCAGCTGCTGGATCGGGGGGCGAGGGTCAGGGCTGTACGGGTAGCACCGGCGGTGGGGTGGGAGAACCTGGCAGGGGTGGCAGGCAGCATCCTGGTCAGGAGCTGGGCGCCAGACTCTGACGGACCTCGCTTGCCTTTGGGTCAGTCCCTGGGCCTCTCTCGGCCTCAGTCTCCCCATCTGTAAACAGGGCCCACAGTGCCTGCCCTACAGGCCTGCAGCAAGCATGAGACTGCCCAGAGCAGGCCTCCGGTACTCAAGGCGTGGCGCTCTGAGAGCACTTAATAAAGGTGACTTTTGGTCCCGCTGCAGCAGTCACAGTGTGGGTATCATCTCTGGGAGGCGCCCCCTCCCCTCCCACGAGACCAGACTCCTTCCAGCATAGCCTGGGGATGCCTCCCTGAGAAATCGCCCGGGCTTAGGGGATGCCGACCCGAGAGGCTCTCTCCATGTCCTCTGGCGCCTCCTCCTTCCCAACCCCGGCCCAAGTGCACCTTCCCTGCCAGACACTGCCACCCCAGCCTTCTCACTGCTCTATCAACGCGCTGATGCGACAGCAGCCGCAGCCGACCGCTCCGGGCACTCCGCGTGGATGCACGGATGTAACACACTACAACCCCAGTGCACAGGAGGACACAGGGGCCCAGGGGTCTTCTGTAACCTGCTCCCAGTCCCCCTGCTGGCCTGAGGATGGCTGTGCTGCTGCGTGTCCTAAGTGCTAACAGGGCCACCGCAGAGGGAGCCAGCCCAGGAGTGCCGGGTGGGCTGGGAGGCAGGCTGTGATGCATTCCCCACCCAGGGCTCCCTGCTCCGGGGGTCCCAGCCATGACCAGGCTACAGAAGGGAGGCCCTGGAGTCAGGAAGGCACTGCGAGTGAGGGGGCTGCAGGGGACCCCCAAGGGAGCTTCCCGGACACGTACACTGCGTCATGCGCCGGTCATCACCACTCTGGATGCGGTGGCCGTTGTGGAACCAGCTGATGGTGGGGTAGGGCAGGCCAGTCACCTGGCACTCCAGGACAGCCTCCTTGGCCAGCCCCACCTCCAGGTCCTGCAGCGGCCGCAAGAAGTCGGGGATGGACAGCCGCTCCAGCTCGCCCTGCTCCGGCTCCTCCGGGATGGACGGCATCTTCTCCAGCTTCGAGCTGCAAGAACCGCACAGCTGCCCAGAGGCCCAGGGACGGCTCCGAGGCTGCTCCCTGGCCGCCCCCCGGGGGGCTGCAGGCAGTACCTGGGGCCTGAGGCTGCCGTCCGAGGCTCCTCCACGTAGAGCTGGGCCGAGCTGTGGGCCTGGCCGTGGGTGTTGGTGGCACTGACTGCATACAGCCCCTCGTCCTCACTGCCCACGTGGGCGATGTGCAGGGAGTGCAGGCCTCCATCCTGCCGCAGCCGCACGTTCTCGCTCTCCTCCACGGGGCGGCCTGCGGGGTGCAGGGGCGAGCAATGCAACGACCCGCCCTCGGTGTGTCCCCCCCAACCATCCAAGGCCCCACCCCCTCCAAGTCTCAGCCTCTGCCCTGCAGGCAGCCTTACCAAAATGAGTCCAGGCCACGGTGGGGGGCGGGGTGCCGCTGACCTTGCAGTCAAAACGGGCTGCGCGGCCCTCAAGCACCTCCACGTCCTCCAGCTGCCGCGTGAACAGGGGCGCCAGGGAGGGCCGCACGCTCAGCCGGGCGCTGCAGGTCAGCTCATCTGTGGGAAAGGCGCAGCGCTGGGGTAGGGGAAGCCGCAGAGGCCCAGGGCACCCCAACCCAGGCAGGCAGGGAGCAGGAGCCTGGGCAGAGCCCCACCCAGGCTCTGGGATGGACATCGCGGGGTCAGCGTGGGCTCAGGACTGTAACAGGGTCGAGGGCTCTAGCCCTGCTCTCCCCACCACCATCATCACCACCTCCCCCTGCCCAGCTCTGCAGGTCCTGGAAGCCAAGACCCTCTCCCTCTTACTCCCCTCTTGGAACTCTCCTCTGAGCCTGGGTCATGCCCACACCGGCCCCAGACCTGAGTAGATGCACCTCGTCCCCCCTTTTCCACCAGTAGACTCTCCCTGGGGGGACAACTGTTGCTCATGCCAGCCTGACACTTCTTCCTGCTCACTAAGCTCCACCCACCCAGGCCACATTCTGTGCTTATCATCCACCACCTGGCCAGGCAGCTGCCACCATCTCTACTCATTGCACAAGGCTGGAACAGGGTCAGAGGTGTCACTAATAAGGACAATGGCTGGCATTTACCAGGTGCCACCCTTCACCGGGCATGGTGCTCTGTTCCTCACCCATCATCTCATTCGTCCTACCAGGCCCCCCATGCGGTAGGCGTCAGTTTGATGCCCTTTTGCCCAATGACCAGTCTGGAGCTCAGAGAGAGGCAGTGACCCACCCAAAGTCAAGGGGTTGGTGGCTTGTAGAATGGGAAGCCAAGTCCAGCTTTGTTGGCCACCCTTGGTGGACTTGACCCCTTCTAAGATCAGCTAACACGGAACAGCACTGTCTGGGAGCTGGGCACCAGCCTAAATGTTTACGGTACCGAGGCAGGGGCCCTGTACCACGTCCCACCCACCATGCTTTCCCCAGAGACGCAGCCCCATCTCCGGGCATCTTACTCTGCAGTCAGCTCATGTTCCTCCAGCCCCTCCCTCCAGCTCTCGCACCCTGCAGCGGCCCTTGGCCCCGGGCGAGGAGTTACCTTTGGCCGTGCTGAGTTTGCAGGTGTACACGCCACTGTCGTCCTCGTGCACAGAGGTGAGCAGCAGCTTGCACTTGCGGCCGTCAAAATGCATCTTGCATTTGAGGAGCGCGGGCTGCAGCAGGCGGCCACGGCACAGCCAGTCCACCTCGACGTCGGTGGGACCCGCCACCAGGCACTCAAACAGCGCCATCTCGCCGGCCCCCACGTCCACGTCCTGCAGGGGGGCCAGCACGGCCAGGGACCGGCTTTCAGGGTGTGCTGGGGGGAAGGCAGCCACGGGGTGGGGCACGCGAGGAGCAGAGACACACAGGGCGAGGGAGACACACACACGCACACACAGAGAGACAGACACAGAGAGAGAGATGCATTTTGTTCCTCTGGACACAGGGAAAGCCCACCCACCCGGCCGGGACGGCAGGGAGCTCCTCAACTTGGCCTTGAGATGGTAGCCCACGCTGGGCTTAGGAGGGTGAACTCACAACAGGTGAGAGGGAGCTGGGAAAAGAGACAAGGCAAGGGTCCTGTTCTGGCAGAGACGGCGGCGGAAAGAAAAACACAGCACACCAGCTGGGTACAAACTGGACTTTATTTGTGCTAAGAAATAGGTGTTTCCAAATGCCTCCACCCCCACCACAGCAGCCCCCTGCACCTGTGCCAAGCCTGGCTAACTCCCTCACTCTGGGGAGACACAGCACCCTTGGCCCTGACCATGAGAGCAGGAGTCCCCAGAACTGGGCCCTAAACCTGCCAGGGCCACGGCTCATGCCGGGGCCTCTGGTTTTTGGCCTCTTGTGGAATAGAAAGTGTTGTGCCATTTGAAAACCATTTCTGGACTGCTCAGCATCCTGCCCCTCCCTGCGAGCCCCTGGGCCATAGCCCGTGCCCCTCTGGGTCCCTCCATCCCACAGATGCCAGGCTCTGTCCTCTCCCACTCTGTCTCTCCCTGCCCCAGCTCAGAGGCATGCTACCTGACTGTCACAGACACACAGACAGACAAACGGATGGACAGACGGTGGCCCGCAGCAGCAGTGGCACATGCGCTCTCTCGGCGCTCCCCCGTGTGAGGAGAGACCCCTCGTGGCTGCCCCTTCCAAGCACCCAGTCCATCTGGGGCCTCCCGGCCTGCACAGCCACATGTCCACCAGGGGAGGAGGGTCCACAGGGGCCTGTGGGCTCTCCCAGGGTGCTGCCATGGGTTGTGGGTGGGGGGTGGGGAGGCTGGGATGGGTCCGGGCCAGCAGGCCGGCTGGGTCTGTGGGCAGGAGGCAGTGAAACACAGGTCCAAGAAGTGCCTGAGCCAGGGGCGCGGCTCGGAGGGCAGCAGGGGGAGCGCAGGCGGCCCCCTGAGCTCACTCGCCTGTGTACAGACAAAAACCTCAGTCAGCAAGCGGCAGGTTAGTGCAGCACACGCACACGCACGCACATGCACGCACACACACGCACAGACCTGGCTAGGGCCCTTCTGCTTGGAGAGCTGCCACTAAACCCACCAGGGCAGCACTGCCTCTCCCAGCTCCCCCAGGGTCGGGCTCCGGGCTGGGAGGGCCTGCGGCTAGCCAGAAGCCAGTCCCTGAAGTTCCTGGGCAACCAGGGCAGGACTGCACAGGCATCAGGAGCACCCCAAAGCCTGAGGGCTGCCGGGAGGAATCCCCAAGAAAGAAGCACTGAGACACGGGTTAACACAGAAAAGCGAGGCCTAGCAGGCCCTGGAGGAGAAGGAGCGGCTAGGGATGGGACTGAAGGGGTTAGAGACCAAGGGGGCAAGCGTAGGCATAGGAGGCACAGGAGAGAGAGAGACTGAGGCCTGTAGGCTCAGCAGGGGGACCATGGCCACTAGGGGACCAGGTGCCAGCAGGTGCTAGGGAGATCTAGAAAGTTCCCAGAGCTGGCCTCTGCCAGGCCTGCAGGGGCTGGGACTGAGGCTTATAATGGTGGTGGAGTGGGGAGCAGAGGAGAGGCTCCTGGCTGCCCCATCACAGGAAAGAGCGAGGTGGGAGGCCCTGCAAACAGCCAGCCCTCGAGGGCAACCCCACCAGCCCTCACGGGGGCAGCTCCACTAGGTCCTGCCAACCCCACTGGCTGAGAGCCCCCCAACTCTGGGGGTGCCCCCCTTCCACATGTCAGGACTCGTCTGCTACCCCCGGGGTCTCCGCGATGCTCTATGCCCAAGTCACCCCAAGGGTCCCTCCGAACGGGTCCAGCCACCAGACTCTCCCCACAACAGCTTCTGCACAGCAATGGGATGGGTGGGTGGGCGAGAGGGAGGGGTGGAGAGGGTGTGAGGGAGGGGCCCAGGCAGGGCAACACACTCGGAAGAGCGTGGGGACGGGCTGGCCGGCAGCGGGAAGCAGCCTCTCTGGCTGACGTCACCTGACGCCTGGCGATTGAACACCAGGGAGGAGGATGTGTTCTGAGCACAGAACGACTTGCTGTGTGGTCTGGGGCAAGTCGCTTCCCCTCTCTGGGCCTCGGTTTATTCAACTACGATAAAAGCAGCCGGACTCTGGCTGTGACATCCAGTCACCGAGGTGTGTGGGAGCTGTCAGCAGGGCAGGGAGGGGCCGGGGCCGGGTGAGGGGCTCACGGAGTGGTGGGTACTCACCTCGGACCTCCAGGCGGGCTTCGCACTGCCGGGCACCGTACTCGTTGACGGCTTTGCAGGTGTAGAAGCCAGCATCGCCCCGCTCGGCGGCCAGGATCCGCAGCCGGCACAGCCCGCCCTCGGCCTCCTCCGCGAAGCGCCGCTGGTCCGGGCGCACGGGCTGCCGGTTTCTCAGCCTGCAGAGGGTCCAGGGTGGAGCTGCAGGGTCACGCAGGCCTCTCTGGCCCCACAACGCCCATCCATTCCCTAAATCTGCCCCTTGGACCCCGGGCAGCCCTGGGTCCCAAGGCCTGCCCCTCCCGCTGTGCACCCAGCTCTCTCCCTTCCCAGAGGAGAGCTGTCCTATTCAGCCATGGCAGTTCTTGAATTTCCCCGTCTTATTTTCATTTCTCACAGGCAGATAGCTTTGCCACTTCCCAAAAGGGATGTGAGCAAACTTACAAAGGTAACAAAAGTCACAGCGGGGACCAGACAAGCAATTAAACATGAAAAACAGAACCCGGACCAAGAGAAAGGATCCACACGCAGAGCAACGGACGTCCCAGGCCCCTGGGAACGGGCGAGGCACCGCAGTGGAGACTCACGCTTCCAAGGCCATTTTAGCACCCCGAGGGGCCTCAGGGCAAGGGGCAGGGGACCTGCTGTCCCCACCTTCCACCAGGCCCAGGCCCAGGCCTCCCAGGGCCCATCTGGCTGCGACTCACCAGGACACCACCGGCTTGGGCTCCCCCTGCACGCGGATGCTCATGACGACGTCCTGGCCTTCTCGCACTGACTGGTCCATGAGTGAGACCTGAAGGGGGACCCCCAAAGTGTCAGGGCACAGCCTGGGATCCTGGGGCTGGGGTGCAGGGATGCAGGGACAAGGGTGTCTGAGGCTGGTTCTGTACTAAGAGGGTTGGTGGGCAAGAACAGAACCAAGGGGGCTCACATGGGGGGTGCGTGGGGGTGCTGCCCCAGGGCTCTGACCTTGAAGGTGGGGGGTGCCTTGCAGCCGCTGTCGGAAGCACGGCGGTTCTGGCTGGGACTGAGCTTCATGGTGGGGGCGCGGGGCCAGGTCTCTCCAGGCTCTGGGAACTCCTCCGGGGGGCTCAGGTACTCCTCATCGGAGGTTATGGGGCTGCCGAAAGGGGATGAGGACCCACCTGGAGGGGAGACAGAGAGATGCGGGGGGGAGGGGGACTGAGAGAGGTGGGGGGACGGCACCCAGAGCCCAGGACCCGAGGTGGCTCCTGCGGGCAGCCTCCCTGACCTCACTTCCTGTTCTCCCGTGGGCTCACGGGGCGGTATGTCCTTGCCATAGACTCTTGTCAACTCAGACCCTGCTGGTGCCTGGGAGGGGGCACCCTAGGGAATGGCAGCAGAGGGCAGCTCTCGGGCCTCGTGAGAGTGAGAGCAGCGGAATCCCACTGCAGCAGGGACCGCATGCCTGGCGCAGCGGGAGCCTGAACCACCGGCCGCAAGCTCCCAAAGCAGACACTGCACAGCTCTGGGACCCCGGAGCGGCAGAGCCGAGACACCCATTTCTTGCATGAGCCGGGCCTGGTGCACAGGAACAGGCCCCATCCTGACCTCAGCCCAGGGCCAATGAAGCGGCACGGCCAACCCGCCCTTCCCCCTCCCTCTTCTCAGCTTCCTGCCCCAGAAAGCCCAGAGGCACCTGCTGGCCCCGGCGGCCCGCCCGAGAGCAGAGACCCTGAAACTCTCAGGGGCCGGGGCAGCAGTGTTGGAGCCTTACAAAGCAAAGGGCAGCTCAGCTTGGGGAAGAGGAGGGGGCATGAGGGGCTGCTGCTCCTGGTCCGGGCGAGGGGTGTCCCCAGGGCCCTGACGCCCTCCCTCGCAACTGGCCAGGGGCCCAGCCTTGCTGAGCTGGCTCCTATCCGACTGCCAAATACAGACATGAATCTGCCACAGCCCCCAGCCCCTCCTCCTGGCTCCCCCCACCCCAAGTCCCCAGCAGGGCTGCACCCCAACTCACCCCGAGACTCTCTGCACACGGACCCCAGCCCGCACCTTTCTGAAGCCTCGGCCCGGGCCCAGGCTCCCCTGCTGTCTGCCCCACTGCCCACCCACCTTGGCTCCCCGGGGAGTGAGAACCCGGCCAGCCCAGCCCTACTCACTGGGCTGACCCAGCGGAGGCCCCCCTGCACCGGGAGCCCGAGGGAGGGGGAGGGGTGGCCAGCGAGGGGCTGGGTGGCAGGCAGGCAGGCAGGCTGGCGGCTGGGAAGGTGGTGCCTGCGAGACCACAGGAAGCCGGGCCTGGAGTGCAGGGGGAGGAGAGGGGAGGGGCAGAGCCCGGCTGAATTTAGCCACCGTACCCGGTCCCAGATCTGCCTTTCCTCTCCTCACAGCTTCTGGACCCTGACAGGAGCAGAGCCCTCCAATGGTGCCTGCACTCTGGGTGTGGGGGCCTCTGTCCGTACAGGAAGACCGAGTTGGGGGAGGGGGGGACACTCGCTGCAGCGTGAGACGCTCTCCCTGACCCACGCGTGGAGCCCGTGTGGCCAGCAGCTCCCCAGCTTCTTCGAGAAGCAGAGAGCAGTCAGAACTTGGCCTTTCCTTCCAGGGATGCCCCCTTAACCTGAGGGGCCCAAGAACCCCACCTCTGCCTCCCCACACCTGCCAAGGCGGGTCTGCCCCAGCAATCGCCCCAAGGCACGAGGCCTGCACCCAACCCTCCCACAGGCCCTGCCAAAGCACCTGCCGGCTGCCTGCCCTCACCATCAGCCCCACCCTCCAGGGCCAACAGAGAGGACAGCAGGGGCTGCTCCCCCTGGGCGACCCCTCACAACCAGCACCCTTCTGTACCTGAGTTAGGGCAGGGGCTTGGAAACAGACGAGCGAGGAGGGGGTTGTTGAACAGGGTCACATGTCCTTCTCCCAGCTCCTGTCCCCTCACCCCCGCCCAGGGCCGCATTCCCAAGCTATGACCTGTGTTTCCCAGCATTGCCAGTGAGGAAGGACCGGCAGGCGAGGGCCAGGCAAAGGAGGGGCCCCCATTCAGTCCGCCTGTCTGGAGGTAGGGGCGGCAGGGAGGCAGCTTGGCACTTGGGGCTGGAAGCCTGGCCCCCAGCTAATGCTAAGACCACAGGCCTGGCCCTGGAGATGGGCACCCCACTCCCCTTTCCCCTCCATGCAGCCTGGAGTCCTGGCTCCAGGGTCACCTCCAGGCTCCAAGCTCAGGCAGACAGTGCTGAGCCGTGATTAATGTGGGACGGCAGGGTAGCTCAGAGACCCCTGGTGGTGACTGAGGGGACAGCACCCCGGGGAGGCATCCAGTTGCCAAGGAAGCCCAAGTCCTGGAGCCCTGGGAAAACCGGAGGCTCAGGCTCCAGAGTGGGCAGAATTGAGCCTCTTTGAGTCAGGACAGTGTCCTCTACCCCCCATATCCTCGTGGCCAAGAAGGCAGGCCAAGGAGCCCTGGCACTCCACACCAGGGTCTGGGGTCACCTACTTTTCACTGGCCCCGTGGCCAAACACACCTCGGTATGCAGCCCTGCTGCACTCACAGCACCTGCCAGGGAGAGGGGCAGCACAGATCCTCACCAGTCCTGAACAAGCCACCACGGAGGCCCTGCCTCCGTTACCAGTGTCCCCAGCTGTTCTGCAAGCCGGGTGCAGCTGCAGCCACCACGGCGAGTGTCCAGGACAGGAGAGGGTCACATACAGCCCTTAACATCAATGCTGCTCAGAGGATCCCTGAGGCACCCACATCAGCACCACGTGGGTGCTAATTTACAATCCAGTTTCCAGATCCTGACCTTGGCCTGCCAAATCAGATTTCCTGAAATGGGAGGTCAGAATAGGGGCTTTCCGAAGCCCCCATTATCAACAGTGACTCTTATGCATATGGTAACTTAGGGGACCAGTGAACACCTTCATGGGAGGAAGCCCACTGCTTAGTCCCAGGGGACGTGTGAGAGGGCCTACAAACCGAGGGGGTCTGACTCCACAGCCCACGTGCTACTCCCACCCCCAACATCCTGGTCTCCTATGCTGGGCCAGGTTGCAAACTCCCCAGCGGTGGTTCTCCAAGCTTATTGGCATCAAAATAAAAAAGAGAGCCCCACCTCTGATTCAAGTCAGTGGGCCTGGGCTGGGCCACCACCCTACATTGCAAACATATCCCCACAGGGATGTTGGTGCTGCTGGTCTGGGGACCGCTCACTGAGACCACTCCATGGTCTCTGCCATCCCCACCTTGGCTCTTGGCCAGAGCCTTACGACCCAAACTGGGTAGCCTGCCCAGCCTCTATGTGTTACCTAGCTTGCTCCAAGGGCTTGGAAAGGCACTTCCTGCCCCACCCCCACTGCCACCTCTCACACTGTCCTGTGGTCCATATGGCCCCTGCACATCTGGGAGCACTCTGTGTACGGCGGTGAGAGCTAAGGAGTGCTGAAGGCACTGTCCCGTCCCCAGGACCCTTCTGGCTGGTAGGGAGGACAAGCCAGACCGTGACAGCCAGCAGGGGTGGGCAGGTAGCAAGAAAGGAGCTGAGGGCCACAGGCGCGCAGAAAGCAGATGACTTTTGGCTCAGGGAACCGGAGGGGCTTTTGCAAAGAGTTACATTTCCACAGGAAAAGGGAAAAGGCATTTCAGGCAGAGCCGAATCGCACAGGCACAAAGCAGGTGCGCAGAGGCCTGCAGCTCAGCTGGCTACAGAGCCGGGTGAAGAAGGAAGAAGTGGGTGTCATGAGGTGAGCGCAGGTGCCTCCCACTGCCTCAGCTGCTTCCGGCCACCCCTGGGACATCCTCAGGCCCCTGGTCCCTTCAGCCCTATGGGTGCGTGCGGTAGAGGCCACCTTAAGGCACGTGGCCTTTACTGTGAATGCCGAGGGCGGCTCCTGATGACTTCCCAGGAAGGGAGGAAGGCACTGGAGGTTGAGCAGCATCTCTGTGTGGCTGGGCCCTTCACACCCCGCCCCCCACCTGTGCTGTCTGCAGATCTCTGCATGTTTGTGTTAAGCCCACCTTAGGGGAGGGGGGAGGAGCCATCAGGAGGTGGGGATTTCCAGCAGGTGCTCATGGACAAGGGGAAGAGTTGTGATGGGAATGTTTTAGGTTTGATTTAAAAGCTATGAGGCCTCAGGGGCCGGTGCTGAGGCACCGCTGCCTGCAGTGCCAGCATCCTGTATGGGTGCCAGTTCCAGCCCCAGCTGCTCCCCTTCTGATCCTGCTCCCTGCTGTTGCACCTTGGGAAGCAGTGGAAGACGGTCGAGCTCTTTGGGCCCCTGCACCTGTGTGGGTGACCTGGAAGAAGCTCCTGGCTCCTGGCTTCAGATCAGCCCAGTTCCAGCCATTGCAGCCATTTGGGGAGTGAACCAGACGGTGGAAGACCTCTCTCTCTTTCTGCCTCTCTCTAACTCTGCCTTTCAAATAAATAAATAAATCTTTTAAAAAAGAAAAAAAAAGTCTGAGGCCTCCAAGAGAACTTCACGTGGTCAGCCTTCCACAGGACTACACGCATAGCTCCAGGTCTCCAATCTTCTGATAGGCTACAGGCGACCACCCCGTTCCAGTTAGCAGCCTGGGGGAGACGGCCACAGAGCAGAGCTGCTTCTGGCAGACGGGAGATGGGAGGGAGGGCTGAGTCTGGTCAAGCGGGTTACAGCTCGCTTCTCCACACATTGTCTAGACCCCACCAGGGGCAGACTGCAGGGGCTGGGTGGCGTTCCAAGATGCCTTCCAGAACTACGACTGCAGGCAGTGGCCGGGGAGAGCCTGCAACTACACAAGCGGGGTCCAGACACCGGGGCAAGAGAGGAGGGAGCGGCCGCGGCCGCCATGATTTTCTCCCCTCCCTCTGATACTCATGATCTCCAATGAGCAACCTCAATTCTGCTGAAATGGTGCTGACCACGTGGGTGGGACCACAGTGAGCTTGAATGAGCCACATCCTTTGGCCCAGATGTCCTCAGTCAACTCATTCTCCCTACAGAGCTGGCACAGTTCAGCTCTGGGGAGTGAACCAGCAGATGGAAGACCTCTCTCTCTCTGTAGCTCTGCCTTTCAAATAAATAAATAAATCTTCAAAAAAAGAAAAGGAGGGGCCATTGCTGTGGCCTAGCAGGTTAACACCCTGGCCTGAAGCACCAGCATCCTACATGGGCACCGGTTTGAGTCCCGGCTGCTCCACTTCCAATCCAGCTCTCTGCTGTGGCCTGGGAAAGCAGTAGAAGATGGCCCAAGTCCTTGGGCCCCTGCATCTGTGGGAGACAAAGAAGCTCCTGGATTCTGGCTTCAGATTGGTGCAGCTCCGGCCGTTGGGGCCAATTGAGGAGTGAACCTTCAGATGGAAGACCTCGCTCACTCGCTCTCTCTCTCTCTCTGTAACTCTTTCAAATAATAAATCTAAAAAAAAAAAAAAAGGAAATGGCAGAAGCCTTGGCTGGAAAATGCTAGAATCTTGGCCTTAAATACATGACACCTGTGCTTGAGGGCAGGCCACGAGGTGGCAGGATGGAAGGCTGGGTGAATAGGGCCCCACCTCCCCTTTCCTCCCAATCAACACCCAGAAGGGCTCCCCACAGAGCCCACAGTGGGTGAACCAAGTGTGTCCACACCAGGCATTCGAGGAAGTAAACAGAACCACAGCCTAGCATGTGGGAAGTCAACAGAGGAAGGGAACCCCGCCCCCATCGACCTGCCCAGGGGGGCATCAGCAGAACCCACCCCATGAGCTGGGGAGCACAAATCCACCTTACCCTCTTCAGAGTAGCAGGCAGCAGGACAGGAAGCACAGTGGTTAGGACCGCAGGCCTGGGAGACCTGACACAGTGCTTCGAATCCTAACTCTGGCCTCCAGGACATGTTCTCTAATGCAGAAGCGTCTAGGGGATCAGCACTGCTCTAACGACATTTGCAGAGGCTTGCCCAGGCTCGGTTTTCTCACCCACACATGGGCATGCTAATAGGACCGACCTCATGGGGTAGGAGTCAGTGTGATATCCCACACCGGGCCGGTACAGACAAGGCACTCTGTAAAGGTTAACCAGTCACGTGACCTTCATCTGCTCCCCACACTCGGTCTTTTTGCTTCACGGGTGAGTTGTTCTCTTTACCCTAGATCAGATACTGCAGACAACACTCCTAGGCAGGTTGCACGTGGTCATTGAGGCTGCTGGCCTGGTGTTAGCTCTGTGCCACTTTTTCCTTCCCATATTTGTGTTCCCATCTGTAAGATGGGCACACCGGGGCCTGCGCTGTGGTGTAGCGGGTTAAGCCGTCACTTGTGACACTGGCATCCCATACTGGAACACCAGTTCGAGTCCTGGGGGCTCTGCTTCTGACCCAGCTCCCTGCTAATATGTCTGGGAACTCAGAGGAAAATGGCCCAAGTACTTGGTCCCGTGTCACCCATATGGGAGAGCCGGATGGAATTCTTGGCTCCCGGCTTTGGCCTGGACCAATCCTGGCTGTTGTGGATATTTGGGCAGTGAACCAGAAGATGGGAGCTCTCTGTCTCTCTGTTTCTCCTCTCACTATTACTCTGCCTTTCAAAAATAATAAGTAAGTCTTGTCCCTGAACCCGCTCCCCCAAAAAAAGAAAGATGGGCACATCACGACCTGTCATAAATGTGATGTGACTTAGCTCAGGAGAAGATGCGAAAGGATGCCCTCTGCAAACAGAAGAACTGTTAGGGAGACGTCGCACGTGGCACCAGGTCTGTGCTCGTAAATGCTTGAGCAGTGGAGGCAGGCAGCAGCCAGGAAAGCTTCCCTTTGGAGGGCGCGCTTCCCTCGCTGCCCGGCCACCCACCCGGTCCACACACCCTCTTTGGGAGCAGGGCAATTATGCAGTGGGGTGGGAGGGACCCGGTGCTGGATGGGGCTGAGGGAGCCAGCGAGGACCAGGCCCTGCCCGCATTCCCTGGCTACTGTGGTTCCCAACCAGGAAGCAAGGTCTGCAGGCTCTCCAAAGCTGGCTCTGCTGGGGTGGGCACCCAAGAGGGCACTGGGCAGCCAGCCCTGGTTACCATGGTGCTGGGTAGGGGAGGGAGAGGAGCCAGAAAGGGTGGTGGCGCCACCCGAGCCTCTTCCCGTAAATCACTGCCCACTTCCCCATCTCCACCTGCTCAGGCCGCCCCCACAGCCTCAGTGCCACACCCTCCCCTGGTAACACCCCTCACTCTCCTGGGTCCCCTCCCTTGCCAGAGGTCTGTGCCACTCTCCTGCCTGGCCTACTTCGGCTGCTCTCCGGGTCCACTGGCCCCCTTCCAGCCGCTCTGGACCAAACAGCGCCTTGTAGGGTAAGAAAGTCGGCTTACTCCCTGACAGCCAGAGCTGAGCCTGGACCTGCCCCTCGGGCCCTGGGTCCCTGGAGCCGGTCTGACTTGTGGGGGCTCCTCTTTCGCTACAGTGCCTGCTGCCCTGGATGAGACAGTGGCTTTTGGAAGGGCTGCGGAAACAAGGAGGCCCTGGGGGGCCTGGGTCCACCCCCCCAGCACCAGCATGGTCTGAAGAGAGGGCACAGGAGGCGAAAGGAAGCACTTGGAACCCGGAGCTGCTGTGCATCTCGCCCCTGAATAACGCTAATGACTAACATTTGTCTACAGCTTTGCAGTCCATAGAGCTTGTTCACGCATTCGCTCTCATCCGTGAGTGCATAATTATCTCTGGTTTACAAATGAGGGAGCCGAGGCTGGGGCAGGTTCCATGCAGCAAACAGAGGACTCCCAGTTAAGCACAGACAGCTGCCTTGCCCCCAGCTGCCTCCCCAACCTTAAAAGGCTCCCGAATGGCCCCCAGCCAGGACTGGGGCACCCCCACTCGGGCCCTTGCCAAACCTCGGCCCAAGCCAGGTATTGACCAGAGTCCTGGAGGCAGGCCTGGGCCCCCGACGGGAGCAGGGGAGCTGAGTCAGGGGTCAGATCCCAGGGCTGATGGAAGGGGGGAAGCATGCAGTGGAGGGAGGGGTATGACTCAGCGGGGCAGGATGGGAGGAGAAGGCCCCAGACGTGGGCTCTGGGGAGGGATGTGGAAGCCAAGACAGTCACAGGACACAGTCAAAGGCTCTCACGTGGCAGGGGACCGAAAGCAGACACCACCAAGAGCCCCCTTCACGGCCAAGGCGCTGAGGCCCTGGGACCACAGCACACAGGCTGTCCTCCTGTCTCCTGCAGGACTGAGTGGAAGAAAGGGACAGAACAGCGTGTGCCGCTCCCCCTCCTGGCCTGCCCCGCCCCTCCCCGGCCTGAGTCCCAGGCTCCTTCAGGAGCGTGGACATCCCAGAGCCCTGAGCAGCTTGTCCCGGCTGTTCTGGGCATTGGACGCGGCTGCCCTGCGCTAGGCGTGCACACCCAGTGGTGGCCCCCCTGGAGGGCAGAGGCTGTGTTTTCCTTCAGTGATGCCCCCTAGCCAGCCTGCTCCAGTGCTCAGGGCCAGCACAGCGTCCCAGGCCCAGCACCCTGAATGAGCCGAGCTGGCGGGGCACACTGACCAGAAGGAAACTGGGCACAATCCCAAAGGCAGCAGCACGGCACCAAGTAAGGGCTTGCGTGCAAACAGAGCAAGGCGGCCTCAGCACGGCCCTCTCCCCTCGGCTGCTCTCAGCAGGACCCTCTCGAGGCTTGGGGTTCAAGAGTAGGACGGGTGGGTGCAAGGCTTTGGAGAGCGCCCCCTCTTACTCTGGGGGCTGGGGGTTGTCCTACGGAGGAAACACGTGGCTCCTAGTGGCTTTGAGCCGCTGGAGCTGACAGATTCTTTTTCTCAGAGACCCAAGGACAGTTTGCTTTTCCCACGGGGCCTCGCTCAGGGAAGCGCCATGGCAGATGGCATTTAGACGACGGCTGAAGACAAATTTCACCAACTCCTTGCGCTGGCCAGCCTGCCCCGTGCCTTGGGAACCTGGCTCCTTCCCTGAGGCCAGGGCCATTTAAAAGGCTTTTTCTGGAACAGCCGGTGCAAGAGCAGGAACTGTGCACCAGGGCTGAGAGCCCGAGCTGCCGGCTGGGAGTGGCAAGGAGCCTGGGCCCACGGCCTCCAGAGCCACTGGGAAGGGTCACAGCTCGGCCCCCCGCCCAGTCCCACCCCAGATGGGCTCCCTACCAGGTCTCACGGCCAGTGCAGCGGCACAGCTGGCCTGGCCCAGCTCGTTGGTGGCAGTGGCTGTGTAGCTCCCGGCGTCAGCCACGCGGGCTTCCCTGAGCAGCAGCGTATGTCGCTCGCCCTCGGCGCGGATGAGAAGGCGGCCCTCACTGCGCAGAGCTGACCCATCCTTGTGCCAGGACACTGTGGGGGAAGCAGCAAGGACGCGGCTCGCCAGGACCCACGGGGGCCTGCTGGGAGATCGCACCCCACCCCCTCTTCTCTCCCTGCCCCAGGAATTCTCCAGACATCCCCCCACCCCCACTCTCAGGCTGTCCTGGGAACTCTCCCTGAATGCACACAAGAGTCAGGCCATTGCCATGCAGTGAATGACTCTGGGGAACCCCTTGCTGCTCCCGGGCCCCGGCCTGGGGCTCACCTTGGGGCGGGGGGTTGGCGGTGACAATGCACTTGAGCAGCACGTCGGCCCCTGGCGCCACCACCACGTTCTGCAGGGGGATCTCAAACAGCGGGGCCTCCAGCGGCTCCTCTCCAGCAGACACATAGGAATCGTCCGAAGACTCTGCCCAACACGGGGTGATAGGGTAAGGTGAATGGCAGGGGAGCCCTGGGGAGGGGTGGGGGCACAGAGGCATTGGTGGCCCTACATCCCAGAAAGGGACTTCTGGAAGGCAGGGGTTGGAGGAGCAAGGGGTCTCTCTCCTGCAAAGCCTGAGACCAGGAACAGAGGAAACCAGATGTTGCTTAAATAGGGCATGGCAGCTGGGGTGCCTGCCACTCAGCTCCGGCCGCGGTCAGCACATTGGGTTCTGGAGGAAGGCAGGACCGTGCTGTCTGTCTTCACACATAGCGACCGTCACGTACAGCAGGGCAGGCCCCGTGCAAGGCACTCTGAGGGGACCGCACAGGCCTCCAGATGGCCAAGCTAAGGGCCACCCAAGACTGGAGGGTCTGAGGGGCTGAGGAAAACCAGCTTTGATTTTGACCTTCACCCAGCACTTGCTACATCCTGAGCGCTGAATGGGCACCAGGAACATAATGGGAAATCAGCCGTGGCCCCTGCTCACAGGAAGCCCACACACACAAATGGGGAAGAAAACTTCATCGTGGGTCTCTCTGGGTATTTTCTAATTCCGATGTTCTATGACCATCCTTCAAAACGTTCATGAACATGGAATTAAAAGATAACTTTAGGGGCCAGCATTGCGGCAAAGCAGATTAAGCTGCTGCCTGCAGTGCCAGCATCCCAGATGGGCGCCAGTTCCAGTTCTGACTGCTTCACTTCTGATCCAGCCCCTGCCAATGTGCCTGGGAAAGCAGCAGAAGATGGCCCAAGTACCTGGGCCCCTGCATCCACGTGGGACACCCAGATGGAGTTTCAGGCTCCTGGCTTTGCTTCGGCTCAACCCCAGCCATTGAGGCCATCTGGGGAGTGAACCAGCAGACAGATCTTTCTCTCTCTCTCTTCTCCTCTCTGCAACTCTGCTTTTTCAAATAAATAAATAATTTTTTTTTAAAGAACTTTGGGGCTGACGCCATGGTGTAGTGGGTATAGCTGCCACCTGTCGCTCTGGCACCCCAGACGGGTGCAGGTTCAAGACCCAGTTGCTCCACTTCCGATCCAGCTCTCTGCTGTGGCCTGGGAAAGCAACGGAAGATAGCCCAAGTCCTTGGGCCCCTGCACCCCCATGGAAGACCCAGAAGGAGCTCCTGGCTCCTGGCTTTGGATTGGCCCAGCTCCACCCATTGGGGCCATTTGAGGAGTAAACCAGAGGATGGAAGATCTCTCTCTCTAACTCTGCCTTTCAAAAAAAATAAATCTTTAAAAAAAAGAATGCATATTCTGCTAAAAACAATAGATAACTTTGGGGGCAGGCATTTGGTCTAGTGGTTAAGACACTGCTTAGGACACTCCTATTGGATATTGGACTGCTAAGGTCTGAGTCCTGGCTCCGCTGCTAAGTACAGCTTTCTGCTAATTCATACCCCAAGAAGCAGCAGTAATTCTCAAGTGACTGGGTTCCTGCCACGCATATGGGAGACCTGGGATGAGCTCACAACCCCCAGCGTCAGCCCCTCGCTGCCCAGCTCTGGCTGTTGACGGCACTTGGGGGAGTGAACCAACAGATGGGAGTTCTTGCTTGCTCTCTCCCTCACAACCTCTCATGCAAACAAATAATTTATTTTAAAAGATTAAGTTTACCTTGGTGCCTTTTTTTGAAAATCATGAGTTTTTTTTTCAGAATATGTATGTTTCATGAATTTGTTTGTGTGTTTGTTTATTTACTTATCTATCTGAAAGGCAGCACAAGAGAGAGACAGAGAGACAGAGATCTTCCATCCACTGGGCTCACTCCCCAAATCACCAAAGTGATCAGGCCTATGCCAGGCTGAAGCCAGGAGCCAAGAACTCCAACTAGGACTATCACGTGGGTGACAGGAGTCAAATACTTGGGCCACTGATTTCCCAGGCACATTAGCAGAGAGCTGGATCGGAAGCAGAAGATGGGACTCAAACCAGCATTCTGATATGGGCTGCCAGTGTTGCAAGAAGCAGCCTGACCCACTGTGCCACAACACCGGCTCCTCCACAGACTTTTTGAAGACCCCTCATATATGCAAATTTCAAAAGCTTTTGTACCAAATAAACTATTTCGTAATGCCATTTTCCCTGGAACATTTTGAAGTATCCCCCACATAAGCTAGATACAGTGTAGCAATGTAGATGGTTCAAAGAGCAGTGAGAATCCCAATTCTGCGTTTTCTAGCTACATAACCGTAGGCAAATCAGATAACCTCTCTGAGCCTCTGCTTTGTAAGATGAAGGGGATAATAGTCAGCACCTTGCAGAGTGGCGTGCAGACGGAAATGAGAGAATGTGGGGACACAGTTGTAGGGATGCAGTAATAGTGGTTAGGACTGTGAACAGGAAACCAATCCGCGCCAAAGACCTTGAGGGAGCAACATTTAAATGCAAAATAATTGTTCGAAGCACAATATAGGGTGGTAAGTGC